GGCAGAATACAGAGATAATGAAGGAATTCTATTAATTATTCTTTAAATAATATCTTCTTCTGCGTTCTTTCTTTAGCTTTAAGCAAATGTTAAATAAGTGACAGGGGGAGAGCCGGTTTACAGCCATATAAGGAACCAAGAGTCCGGACCCTGTTCCTCGCATCGCCGAGAGATGTTGCATTATGTTGGGTATTAGTCCATGTCTGATCTCCGCGTGTACCAATTAAATTAACGCCAAGTCAAAACAGAATAGAATAAGAAAACAAGAACAAACAAAAAATGAACACGATTCAAAGAGAAATAATAATCGCCGTCGAAGAACAACAACACGAAACGAACGTTTTAAATGCGTTTGAAGAAAGAAAAAAAGCGCTCAATCTTCGTCGCCGAAGACGCTAATTACTTCTAATGATGCAAAAGTAAACACTCTGCGAGAAGTACCAGAAACGGAAACCAGAATACGAGCCGCCGGAGAGTTAGAGGATGAACAAGAACAACGGGGAATACACATATACTTGCACGAACAAAAAAAAATCAGTCATTAATTACAATCACCAATTACACTGGTATAGGTCGGGCTACCATTAAATCTGTACATCTCAGAATAAATTACTTGCTTGCTTCATTTTTTTTTACCTCCATCAAAGTCCCCTCTGCTACTCCTCTAATTGCATAATTATACTAAATACACGTTCTTCCTTTCGTTGACTTTCTTGAAATCCTAACAGATCTCCTCGTTCTCTACATTAATTACAGCAACGCCAATATATACGAAAGACCTGGATTATTCTTTCTAAACGGCCGTGGCCTCAGGCCTAACGCTATTAATTGGTCGCAACTAATGAAGAGAACCGAAGCGAGAAACAAATAATAATTAAATATCGAAACTGGAAACTGTACTTTTTTTTATATATATATATATTTATATGTAGAAAAAAAAGTACACCACAAGAAAAGCAATCTTTAAATAGTATTTCGCTTCCGTTGCTTTAATTAATTGCACTCTGTATTTCATCACAAAAACGTAATGAAAAAGTTTCTCAGCAAAAACTGAGACTTTCAAATAGTTTAGATAAACTCTAAATAGATCATTTATTGAAGTGTATCAAGAGAATGTGGCCAAACGGAAGTATTTACTTTTATAGCTGCAGTTGATTTCTATAACCAGAATTAACGGGTTATAGCTATTGTGCGAGGCAATAAATTACCAATTAAATATGATTGATTGTCCTTTAAATAATTATTAATCAATTGATATACAGATTCGAAAGTATTTAACACATGGAACTTTGCATCATGTGAAATTATTAATTATTTTCGTTATTTACATATTGGATAATTGAAAAACAAAAAATCATAAACAAAGACGTGGTGAATAAATACTTATTTCAGTTTGAAGAAATAGATGTTATGCTCCTTTTTCATTGGGATACGATCATTAAAATCACGATTAACTACCAAAGCAACTTGGGTATTTCAAATGTTGAATGTCTTAATTGATTTATAATTTGCAAGCATAATCGACGCAAAGCGGGATCTAGGTGTATATAAAAATAATGATGAGAAGCAAGGAATACCGGTTAATAGTTGAAGACTAAATATGGATGACCTGACCAAAGGTATAATAAGTGGTAAAGAGCTGAAAGCTAAAGAAAAACGCTGACAGGATGGAAGCTACCAAGCGTGTCTTTGTTCGCGGTGCTAGGCAAGAAGAAGAGGGCAAAGAGGTGATAACTCTCCAAGGATAGTTGTTGCTTTTTCCGATAACGGATTGAAACGTCGCCGCGTACCTTCGTTTTTATTTCTAGTTATATTATTGCGAGGAGCAGGCCGATGTTTCGTTCCTGTGGGGCCCCTATCAGTAATGAAGAGGAAGGGCCCGGTCACGATCCGTTCACCAAAGTGTTATTTATATACCACATATGGTCGCGAAAGAAAACGCGGGACATTGTCTTACGGTGTCGTGTATATTGTTCGGTTGGAGAGACGAACGGAGGGAGGAGGCCATTCTTCGCCAGTTTTTTTTTTCGCTCTTCCATTCAACGAGGACAACAACGGCAGCAGAACAGCAGCAGTACCTTTCTTCAGGTGATGATGATGATTATGATGAGATACGGGGTGGCAGGTCCCCTTTTCAATGGAGGCCTCCTTTGTCCTCATGAATTGAACGTTGGATGTGTGTGTATGTATGTGTGTGTCGCGACCACGAGATTAGTCTGCATAATTAATTCATAAAACGTGCACCGTCTCCGCGTATAATTTCATGGTAATTCATTCAGGAAGCGTTTCGGAGAGGATAGGCTTCGCCTCCTCCAGCGCCGTCCGATAATGAGGAAGAGAGCTTTGGCAAAAGAGACACTCCGAAGTCTCCTCCACATGATTGCACAAGTGCAAAAGTGCATTGTCTCTTGCGAAAAGCCTTGCGGGAAGGACGCGCCTTTGATTTATTGTCTCACGTATAAACCGATGAAAGGCATACGGCGACGAACAAGAAAAAAAATCCACACTCTTACTTACACACAAACGCGTTATAAAATAAGTTCTATAATTGGAAGCGCTTACATTATACCTATATCATAATAGCACTGGGAAATAGAAGAGAACGAGAACACAAAATAAAAATCGAATGGTTAGGATTGAGAGAGACGGAGTTGTCAGATGCAGAGCGCAAATAGTTTACTTTCCATTTGCACGTTACGAATCCGGGTGTACGCAATAAATTAATTAATTAATGCACCTCTCGGGTAATTGTCATTTGCATAAAACTCGATGCACGGCGCGATGCATTCTAATGCATCAAACGGGCTAATTGGAAACCGAGAATTGCAATGCAAGAAGAAGAAAGGTGGGTGCCTCTGGTGAAAGAGAGGTTATCTATGGATGCACTGGCAATTGATTCAGTCAACGGAATATTGAATAATTGAATCAATTAGCGGCATAATTGGCCGTAGTTAAGAACAAGCCTCTTGTAACTCATGGAACAAAATGCTCTTTATTAGTTTTGATTATGCATGCCACAGTTTTACCATGTTATTTTGTGCAGATGTTTATTTATAAAATCGTGTGCGCTTATTTTCATGCACAATTTATTTTTAAAATATCAAATAAATATAATTGCGTGTACATGGAGTTTGTTTCACAACACAGTTAACCTTTAGTGTGCCAATAAAATATATAAATACGATATAGAACACTTTATTAATGACAAATTATCGATGATATTTTGTTAGTTTAGCAAATGAATAGATGAAAAAACTGCAAACGCTTGATTGAAAAATACTAATTATTAATGATCAAAGTCTCTTAAGGAGAGTCCAATTAATTGGAGTGTAATTATAAGAAAATGTATCGACCGTATTGGAGCTTGGGGCGTTTCGAAGCAACAAATGAAGACGTGCCTGCAAATGGGTATTATTTTTCCCGTGTTGCAATGGTAATAATTGTAGTTGGTGTTGTAGGAGATGGTGTGTGTATGTTGTGTAACACACACTTAGTGTATATGAGAGTGTCGCGAAAATGTACAAGTGGCGGATATATGGTGGTAATTAGTTTGCAGCGGCGTTAAATGAAACGAGAGATTTCAGGATTTATCGTGAACCGAAGCACGGCAACAACAACACAAATGAGGAGGAGAAGAGGGTACCAACTCGCAGTTTGCTAAAACCTCATAAATAACAACGGTTGTTGTTGCTGCTCTTGCTTGGATATTTCGAGGCTCGGAATCATAATGAATGTCGTGTCATTAAAATCGATGCCTCATATAATATATGTTTATGGGTATAGGTATATACGCGGTCGCGCGCAAACAATGCCGCGATAAATTAAAACCCGCCCTTCGGTGAACCCTGAAAGGTTCATCTCTCCATTTCCATCTTCACCCGACGCGGCGGACAAAGAAGGTTCGCCGCACAGCAAACATGTAATCCCGCATGAAATTGGTCGTTAAAAAAATCCACCTCGCCGGACAGTTCCATAATGCAATTTACGAATTCAGCGAATTAGGTATTAGCTCCGAAGGATAGAAACAGCGAGAAGAAGGAAAGAACAAGTTTGAAACAACAAAAAATAACAACATACACTTGTAATAATCATAATGAAATTCATTAATTAACGCTTTCTTTCGTTCCCATAACCTTCGATCTCGCGTTTCATAAGTCCTCCAAGTGTCTCAACGAGAAGAAAGAAACACTCGGAGAACGAACACACACACACACCACACGCTTTAGAAAGAAACGAAAACACCACAACGCCGGACGCAGACTACTGGATTAAAATATAAATTAGCTTCTATTTCATTTTGAAATGCTACTTCGCTTTTGGATGTCGCTGAATCCATTTAACCGATCCATCTGCGACGTTGACGTACTACTGCAGCCGCCTTCTTACATCAAGAGCGGTTTAACAAAAGGATGCTTATGCAGACGACCATTTGTAGCTAATAAAACGCTAATTGATTCCCCCAAAAATAGCATTCAAATCGACCAGACCACACACAGGTTACGGCATTAGTTTATTTTGTAAAAATATACCATTCTCAGGAACGACCTCAGCACGCGAAATCCAAAACCTTGAATTAGTATGCAATCGTAATTTTAAAGAAAAATAAGATACAAGTTTACCAAATTTTCTAATTCAAGAATTATTGTTATCTTGTCAAAGTCGAAAATAATGACGTTAAATGTATATATAAAAAAACAAATCTTAGTTGTTGTTGGATATAGTTGAAGCTTTCGCAAACGATTCTGATTTGAAATCTTGAGAGTTAATGCTTCGGAGAGGAGGAATAATTGAGCATAATTTGATTCGACAGAAAAAGAAAGATTCGATAAAAATCTACTGTAATAATAATAATGATGATGTAGGAATAACTAAAAAAAGGAGACCATTTATGTTGGCTTTCTAAACGCGGTCGAGAAATTGAGGTGCTCTCTCAGCTTAATTTGAAAGAGTACAAATCTTTAAGATCGCGTTCGATTTAAGAAGAGTTTGCTTTGACTTACGTGTAGCTTCCGTGAGTGTTGTGGCAAATTCCATGATGGCACGGCTTCTGTCGGCACTCGTCCTTGTCGTCCGTGCACGAGAGTCCTTTGAAACCGGAAGCGCACTTACACTTGTACTTGTCACCGACCGAGATGCATTCGGCACCGTTGCGGCAAGGCTGCGACGCGCAGTGGTCCTGTTTCTCACAATGCGTTCCTATTGAAGAAGAAAACAGAAGTGCGTGAGCGTCGTCTTACGAACGTGGAGATGTTGATAGCCTTACCTGTATATCCTGGTGCACAGCTACATTTGTAGGACTTGAGCGAGGAAGTCAGGTTGCACGTGCCGCCGTTCTTACACGGTTTGATGTCACATGAGTTGGCGATGGGGATCTCACAGAGGGAGGCGCTGAAACCCAGCGGGCAAACGCACGTGAAGCTTGGCGAGGTGCCGGGCGACACGCGCACCTCGCAGGAACCGCCGTTCTGGCATCGAGGTCCTGGACCCGTGTAGCAAGGATTCACATGTTGGCAGTACTCTCCTACGTACTTCGACGTGCAGCTAGAATTAAATTAAACAATCATTAGATTCGCATACAGTTACCAGATGACTATATAGTCTAATTTACTTAATTATATTATATTTTGTAAATATATGTTATTACAACAAATGGAATGGTACTCTAGCAGAACGAAGACGATTCGCTAGAGTAACAAGTCTTAACACTTCACACATTCACACAATTTACACGGCTGAAGGACATCAAATGGTCGATGACCAGTTGGAAAGGTTATCTTTTAACACTTATACATTTATTGTAGACCACATGAAACTTTTCAACCAATCAAATGACATAAGTTCAGGTATTAATAACTAAGCTTTTTGGTAATAATGATTGGTAGTAAATGATTATATAATTAATTTATATAATAGACAAATGATAAAATTAAATTGACAGAACAATTAAGATGCACCTGTTAAGTGAGTCGACATATTCTTAATGTATTTATTGATTCATTCGTAATCGAATACTCATAATCAATTCGAGTTCATGAATGATTCGACAGAAAGGAAACACCATTCATCTTCAAAATAATTACGCTCTCCACTATTTTTGATTGAGAGACACTTCTTGCACCGCATAAATATTTAGAATGGATTTAAAAGAATCTGTTTAGATTTAACGCAAGATACTTGTGATATATAAAAAATATACACAAATAGTCAATGAGTATTGTCTTTTTCAGCTGTAATTGATCTGGACCGAAGAATCGAATTTAACAACTTAAATTTGTATTTGTAGTACTTAAATACTGGAAATACTTAGTTCGGGATACATCGACATCCACCTGTAGTTGAAAACGACGTTCTTTGCAGGTCGTGTTGTACACTTTTTGTTGGTGCAGTGAGCGCGTAATTAAAAACTATTTCAATTACATGAAACATTACCCGGCCGTTCGCAATTAACGCTTGCCTGCGGATTTAATTGGCTATGAAAACCAGAAGCTCGAGAAGCAAAAAAAATGTAGAGAAAGAGGCGGTAGCTCCTATCCATCCCCGGGGATAAGATACTTCAGATATGCATTAGGCAGGAAGGAATTTTCGATTTTAATTAAAAGCGCTTCTTTCGAAACGTAGCATAAATCATCTGTGGCAAAGAGTGTCAGAATGCTCTCGGCAATAATCGGCGATTAGCTATGGTATCTCTCAGCTACCGGTCGGTCGTATAGCCTATATTAATGGCTGACATCTCATAAATCGAAACCTTCGTGTGAATGAATAACAATCACTCAGGAATGCTAAGTGTATTTGCATTTAGCAGACGTGACGAACTCCCGATGGTTCGGCTGAATGGTGGCTCTCTCTGGAAGGTTAGTGACTTACTCTTCTCATCCTCATCGACGAACAACACGTACGTACGAACGGTCATGATGTTTTTATATATGTGTGTGTGTGTGCTGTATGTGCAAGAAGTCATCGAAGGCACGTCCTTAATCAGGACTAGGCTAGAGCGGTCGTTAGTGCATCGAGAAGAAATAGTGAGTGGCAACGAAAGGAGCATAGGAGAAGAAATAATAATAAAAAGAGCGAGATGAGGTATCTTTAATTGAGAACAATTCGCGTGGAAAGAGAGAAAACCAAAGATAGATTCCCCATTAGTTGATTGCTTCGTTTTGAAATCGATAATCTCGAGGGGAAAAAGGTTACGAAACGGCGACGACGAAACAATGAGCATCAGCATCTGTGGATCGAAGCGAGATGGAATATGTTCTGTTCTTGATTTTATTTCTGCTCTCCTCCAACCTTTAAATTGTAAAGGTTAAGAGAAGTCAAGCGCGTTCGTCCAATTTAGACGTTGTGATTTATTCACGACCACCAGCCTCCTCTCAATCATCCTTCTCCAATTCGTAAAAAGTCAATTCCACACGCATTCATCTATTCTCTTTCTCTTCATATTTTGATCACATCCCTGTGGCGCACTGTCCTTTCCTATTTCGTATTTTTCTTCTTCACTCCTTTCATTGTACATATTTTTGCGACCACATAATAATTGCTTTGTGCCTTGCGAAGATGACGATGTGAGGGCATCACAGAAGAGGTAGAAGAAGTTGAACTTGTCTCGCCCACTAAAACCGGATTGTACGGCGGTATTCATAATTTACATACACACACAGCTAAAGCCACCAACATGGAGATGAGAAGAGAAGACCGAGCAGTCCTGTATTTTATACATACGAACAGTCTAGATAATGATTCTATTCAATTCAATGGACCAGAAGTACAAAACTTGTAGATGTCTGTAATTAAAAATTAAATGACAAACACAATTTCTTTGTATCATTTATGTTATTTCTCAACTAATGATCGCATTACACGTATTTAGTGTTTATGTCAAGCAAAGTATTAAATCTGATAAGTCGATTCATACTATTGTTATGTTTTCCTATATAAATAGTATAACAATAGTTCATTAGAGGCATACATACATTTTTTTAATCCTCTTGAGCCTACAACATCTCGGCAATAAATTGTCGAGCATTACGAGATGCCGGGCTATAAAATATCGTTCACTTCGGCACACTCACTTCAATCGCACAATCGAGTTTTACTTTGATTTATCGATTAGAAAGCGATAATTTACTCGAATCTAGACTGGATATTTTCTATACATGGCTGTTTGCAGAACTTCGCAACCATGGATATAAGCAATTGTCATTGTAGCGAATGAATGAAGTGCTAATGAAACGGTGTCCCTGCTCGCCTTCAACTGCTTTTAGCGGAAGATGCTATCTCTCGTCGGTAGCTTTGGGAGCGCTTCTATTCCACATAGAAGAGCGAGGAGTACTTCATTTTCAGCGGCCCGACTCAATTTGTCTTGACGTCGTAAATGTTTGACCTCAGAGGGGCGAGTGAGTGAATCACTCAATTCATCATCATCACCATCATCATTATCATCATCATGACCGGAGAGCATCGTGATCTCTGCCAAAGTTAAAAACTGCGCCGGCAATTTGTATTACTCCGTTCTGTACAAACTGACATAAAAGTCAATGACCAATAGCTCAATTCAAGTTGTTCAAGGGACGATTAATTAGTTGCATGTGTGTTGTTTTATGATGATAAACACGGCCGGAGATGATAACAAAAGTGGTTTGCGGAAGCTGCTAGGGAGAGGACAATAGGTGGAAAGGAAAAAGGGGTTTAAGTGGGTTCAACGTTACCGGATCCTGGTGGGAATGGATCGCCTTTCAGCCATCATTACCTACCACCATAACCACACACCGACGACGATGACTACAACATCATGACCACAAGAAGCTTGTTCGGGATCTTATATGGGCTTCCCTTCCGGCAAAGCCGACATCTCTTTAGAGCGTAATTTTTAATTAGTCTTGAGCTTTAATTGCAAGGCTCGCCCACGCACAACTCGACCGAGAAAGCGGCAACGCAGAGCGAACGACAACAATAACAACATATGTGTTGCACGTGGGACGTTGGGATATGTGCGTTCTTCGGCAGGGCAATGTCTTCAGGGTAAACGGGCCTCTGTGTAGCGACGAACGCAAGGCTCAGATTCCCTCGAAGACCACTTGTTGAGTGCCACCACCTTACGAGACCTATACTAGCAGACACGAAAACATCCGCTCGCCGTGAGGATGTGTGTATGGATATATGTATGTATGATGAGAGTCGGATCGAGTTCGTCGCGTCGCCTTAAGACCCTATTTTCTAGGGTGCCTTATGGCCAGGTACGGTGGTTCATTGTGAGCTTATGAAGGGTAGGCTACACGAAAAGGTGCAGCTGGTCTGTGAGGGTTGTTCAAACCAACCAAGATGAGATGACTTGGATACTTGGATGACGATGGAAAATTGAATGAAGTGGAAAGGCTTAATGGATTAATGAAAGCCTTATCTCAGCATCCACCCCGATAGGACGCGTGGAAACGCAAGAGTTAATGCAATAATGACGAGGCGTTCCTCCTCTCGGGTCAATCAAAACAAAAAGCATTAAGATAACAACAGAGCGGCTTGGACTGGACCACTTATCCTCCTCGTCCTCCTTGTTTCTATATAATATCCAACCATACAAGCACAGCAAGGACAACACGAAAAGCTCCGTCCGTTAATGAAACCCGTGTATCCATTTCTTTTCAAAAGAGCGTAGACACGGCAACAATGCCGCTACACAAGTCTTCGAAAGTAGATTACTTCTTCTCCTCTCTCGGATTCCATTCCTCCTACTCCGCGCCAACATCTCTTGCTCTTTCTCTCTCAATACGTTCGGAGAGTCCTCGTCGAGCGGAAACGCCGTTTCGGCAGCTCCGAGAATGGAGCTAGAGCAAATAACATTTTACCACACGTTATATATTATATCCACACACTGAGGATACCTGTTTCACATGAAGAAGAGAGGATCGGCAACCTCGCCCCGCAGCAGAAAGACGTACGGACTTGGAAATGTCAAAATGTAGAATGAGCCCCTAAGGAGAAGCGTCTAACTGCCCACTTCCGGGACCGATGCTAGTTTTCCCACAAGAATCATCGGCCGCGAACAATGGCAGCAAAAGCGCGAAGAGGTCGACTTATCGTGATTATTATATTGGTATTGCGGCTGAGAAGAAGTTGAAAGGAGAAAGATGTAAATAGAGCCTAGAGCACGATAATGTTCCACATTTATTAATCCGAAACCGATGGGAGGAGCAGTTTCACAAAAAATCGTGCCGCCCGGGGCGTGCGTATTCAAATGATCATCGCGTTGCAGAGAAAAGGTTGGGACCGGCCAGGCTTCTTGCTGGATGGTCGATCAGTTGGTCTGGCTGTTGGCTCCATTTACAAACGATCCGCACATTCTTCTTTTCGCTTTTTTACCTCGGTTCACAAGCAATTACCCGCGAATGCGGTGTAATAAAAACAAATAAAGTTGCAATTTTCTACTTGGCCAATCATACACTTGGCAAACCGAAAACCTAGGCTCCATCATGTGAAGCAGAGGAGCGAAACTTGGCGCCCTTTCTTCTTCGCGCATTCATAACATATAATACACTATTTAGGTGGTGACAATTAATTAAAGAATCACCAATTAGAGCTGCAGCAAAAAAGCATCTCCCATTATCGTCGATGGCATCAACGTATTAGCCAAAGCCAACAATTATCTCGTCTCTCAATCGCAGCACTGCCTTTCAAAATTAATGCACTTCTCTCGATTGCTACCGAGTGGCCCCTCTGATTGCTGTGAGAAATCTGGAGCGCGCCTCCGAAGGAAGGGCCGCCCCGAAAAACGACGTGCAGAGCCTGAAAATGACGAAGTGGACGGCAGATGGCGGCCGACGAAGCGTCTGCAATTAAAAACCGCAGACTCGATGATGATGATGACGACGGCGAAATTCGATTTCGATTCAACCTTCTCATGTCGCTCAAGCATTGATTGCACATGCAGAACTTATCACGGGTAACAGCATTCAATCTTTGCGGTAACAACATCCACAATGAACCTCTTCAGGTGCGCGTCCGCGGGTTCATTAGAAGCGTTGCGTGAAGTCTAATTAACTCAGCTTTTGTGAAATCCTGGCTTTGCTACACGCTAGCAACCAGCGTCCCATTCTTTCCCGAATATCTAAAGCAATTGTCTAAATTGAAGTCTCTCCGCTCATGGTTTTTAATTGATCGTGGAATCAATTGCTTCCACGCACATTAAAATCCCATTTACACTCGTTCTCCGTGAATCCTCGAATTATACAAGTCATATTCGATGGATAAAAGCGAATGTTTTATCTATTATCTTCAATAGGTCTTCGCAACAAAACACGCCGCGCACACGAGAAACACGCCTTTATCTCGTATTCCTTTCTGTCTTCCGTCCACAATAAATTCCTACGTATATATATTTATTTTTTTTGTTTTCTCCCCCATTAAATTTATATTCCTCTTCCTCACCTGAATAGGCATTTAGGCGGATCGCCTTTGAAATATATTGCCCGTTCGCTAGGCGCGCATCGCTTATCCGATCGTCCAATGAATGTGTACAGTACAACGCCGGCGAAAGAAGAGAGAAACAAAAAAATCTTCTCTTCGGACGCGCATCGAAAGCTTTGTTTACTTTGATTTCCGAATTCGATCCGATCCGAAGCATGTCAGGAAAAACCAACATCGTTGAACGAACAAAAAAAACCTCTCACGAAAACGCCATGGTAAGTAACTAAGATTACATTAACTTATCTCGGCTTAAAAAGGGAATGAGCCCAATTGAGCTTTAGTGGATAAATTAAGACGAGGCTTTAAAAAAATATTGTTTGGAGCCCCATATGGTGTGTTGTGCCTTTTGAAAGAACCCTTTTATAGTGAAGGGTGTGCTTGGATACTTGACAATATGGCAAATTTAGAAGAGACACGCTCCATAATTCATCATCAATCTCCCCCCTTCGGGATACAGCACAGAATACAAAAACGTTGCCGCTTGGTTGGATCGAAAATAATAATAATACAATATAAAAAAAGGAACGTGAAATAATTCGAATAAATCATGCCCAGGAAGACAGTGAACCCCGAAGGTGAACGCAACGAAATGAAATAAATCTCATGAAACTGATTGGATCATTGAACCGTCCATTATTTTTGTTTCATTTACGGTAGATCACGATTGGGCAACGAAATGATTTCTACAAACTAAAAGTAATCTACTACCATACGCATTTACAATTTAAACCATATGTGGTAGCAGCTTTAATCAATCAAAAGAGCGAGGAAAAAACAGCAACAACGTGTACCGCTGCTGCCCAAACAGATAAATCACAATACAATAGCAAATTAAATCCTATAGAGCAACGAATAAAATATATAACAAATAAAAGTACGTAGGGGGAATCCCCTAAAACCGATTGTTCGTCCATCTGTTTGTTGAAGCTCTCGTTCGTCACGCTGCGATCAACGTTTAGTTCTTCGAGTGCGGAAATCGCAAGTGCCCGATGATACGAATCGCTCAATTAAACCTCTAATTGTGATCATCATCATCGGCGTGGTGAATGGGATCGCGCCTTTGTTGCGCGACGTATAGCGAGACAGCGCACATGTCGCTGTTCGCACACTATATGAAATTAGCCGCGGCCCATAAAATCGTCCATAAACCCAGGCGACCCAACCAATTGGCGAGATCACCATCAATCATGATTTATTTGCGGTTCAGATCAAACCATTTGACCTTAAGAATCAGCCGGACAATTAAAGACGAACAAAAATGCCATTGAATTCCTTAGAAAGTTACATACAGTAACGAATAATCTTACATTGGAAAGTCGAATAAATTTAAATTTAAAGATGGAAATACCAGGATATTAAGATCAACGGCATCTGCAAGATTGATATTTAAAACAACAACAAAAAAAAACTTGTAATTGCATTAAAACCAAAACAAAGCTTAATAATCTTTTGGGCGAAGGAATGCTGAAAGAATGAAAGCTTAATTGATCGCGTCGAAGAATTCAATTAGTCTTCCCCGCTCGGTGCTTCGTGGAAGGCGAATTCATTTACTTTCGTAATAAATAACAACCGACGAACAACAAAAAAAAAACGTAATTAAATTAAAACTTTTTTCCATTCAGGATTTTATCTCTCGTTTTTGGTTATGTACTTACTTGCAATAAGAGTCTCCGCGTGGCAATGATATGCAGGACCCTCCATTCTTGCATGGACTGGGCGAACACGAAACGAATCCTGAAAGCAGACAAAACAAACGACAAGAAAAGGAATTAGTCTTAAGCTCAACACAAAATGCAGTTAGTTAATAATCAACGAATTAGTAGTAGTACGCATTCCCCCCACCAACAAAAACAGCACTCATCGATTACGTAAACATCTTAATTTGTAGAAAATTCAAATTAGATGTAATTGAGGCAATTGTACATTGTTATTGTCTTCGTTTCTATTTCCCTTCGCTCCGTCGTTTCGGGCTTCGTCCCGCAGTGAAGAACAACACCACTCGAAATGTAAAATGCCTTTTAATGAATCCATCCGGGATATAACAATTTTCCATGCCACACACTCCATTATATCATCAATCTAAATGCGAGCCTCGCTGCGCCCACCGTTAGCAATTCCGAATGCCAACGCACCAAAATCAATTGATCCGAACGCGAGAAGAAACAAGAAAGAAAGGCGCCTTTGTTTCAACAATTATTGTTATTAGAAACGAATGCTCTAAGATTAAAGACAATGGACATTAGCATAATTAATGCTTAATGACCAATTAAAAAAAGAGAGATGAAAATAGAAAAGACATAAACAGCCGGAACTATAGCTCTTCTGTGGGATCGGAATAACCGTAACAATATTGGCGCAAAAATAGTAATTCTTTATTTATTTTTTCCATTGACTACTTCATCTTCTTCATTTTAGATTCACACGCTTTATGTAAATTGGACAGTAAATTGATTTGGACGATTCAAAAAAAATATGGGCAACGGAAACCAACAAAATGCTAATCGAGACTTTCATTACCATAGTTGAGTAAATACTGGAAATAAATGTTCACTTTCAGTTTCGCTTAGCCAATATCAACACGAATAATCATTCAATTCGCATAAAATTTAACAGCTCAGACGTAAACAAAACAAATGAAGAAAAAAACGTAATTACAGGATATAGAAATTTCGTATTTCCAATCGTTGTAATTTATTCGCTAACATTAATATTGAGTATCGCTTTCAACTTAACAGCCAATAAATAAGTTATTGAAATAAGATAAACATTTACTTAATTCTCTTCAAAAACAGTAAATCAAAGAAAGATGCTTCAATGACTAATAAGAAATCTACCGGATAATAATACACTAATAGGTATATCATTATCATCTTGAACGCAATGGTATATAATAATCTAATATATATAAACAAACCATTAATAAAGAAAATGCTGTTAGTATACTTTACAAAATCTACATCCCCCACAAGCTATATTTTAGTGCGTATTTCTTTGAAACAAATATATTGCGTTTACAGAAAATGAATTCTCACATTACAAAATTTCCGCTTTTCGAAAGGATAAGTGGACTGAGTTAATTCGTAAGTGCTGTAACAATTTACTTATTTGTTACATATAAAACGATTGCAATATCTTATTTTGCTGCAAAATGCTCAGGCGACTCGCCTAAATATACTAAACGCAATTAACGTTACTTAGCTCACTAAAAATTAGTATAATTAATTTTAATTAACACCGAGGAATGCAGGCAATTTGTTCAGACTTTAAACACTTATTGCCATATCCATAAACTACAAGCCGAGTCCGTGTTCGAATAGAAAAAAATCGATAGGCTGCAAGCAAACATTGTATCCAAATCAATTCACTAATTAAATCATATTGCTTGAAATAATTATTGTATCTACATATGTTCACTAACCATTTCATTAATTATTTATAGATATTTGCGTTTCATCAAATGCAAATCTAGTGACGTCCGTGTTTATGCACGCAATTATAAAAGGTATAAATAATTTTTAATGTTATAAATAGTTGCGCAAATAAATTGAATCATAGATATAAACATTATGTATTTCTTATACGTCCAACAGTTTATGAAAGTTAAACAATACCAGTTGAATGGGTGATATTTCTACCATTAATATTTATTATAGTATAATTGTTTAATATTATTGAATTATCTATTTATTTAACTGATTTTCATGTATTTTCTATATTGTATAAAACTGTACGGATTATTATTGAAATTGAAGAGAAAAACAAACTGGAAACTAGTTTGGAAGACATGTGTTGAACCCGTTCCAAAGCAACGCCCGAAGAATGCGTGTTACGTGTTATGAGAGTCTACTTGGAACGATCACTTTCCAAGTGAATCGACAAAGGGTGTCCTGCATATGTGGATGAAAAGCACATTGGAAGAGGAGTGATCACTTCCGGCTGCTGGGATAGCAGCCAGAAAACCAGAAGCCGATCATTCGCAAGAGATTTATCACGGCGAAAAAGGATCGTGTTACAACGAGGGGGAACAGCAACAGCGATGACGTCGACGACAACAACAAGAAAAAACGAAGAAGTACCACCAACAGGAAACTATATTCAATAATACCGTCTTGGGCGGAGTGCTCCAATTAACGGCCAACTGTTATACGCAACTGAATCGTTAAAAGAAGGAACACTGTTTTTTTAATTGTTAGTGTCATAAAGAATGCCAGGACTGTGCTCTTTTTTCGATTAGAGCCTGATTGTTTCGTTCGTTATGTACGGTGTGTGTATGTATTCGGTGTATGCGAGGGACCCCATTGTGACGATGGGGGGTGCCGCCGCCGTCCGTCGCTGCTGCTGCCTCCACCACCTGTCGGAACCGTTACACGGTCGTCTGTGCGCGCACAAAGGGGGCGCAAACAGGGGAACTGACGTCACCGACAGCTGCGGCCTGAGAGGGCAGGCATTCGAGAAAATAAGAATTCTGAAAGGCATACGAAGAAAAGCGATCGCAGCACCATAGCACAGGATGATGGACCCACCGCACGAAAATCTGGGTTATAGACTTTACGAAATCGCCGATTAAGAAGCGGTGGAAATCAAGAAGAAGGTGGAGGCGAGAGATGAAACGAGAGAGAGAGAGAGAAAGAGAAGATTCTTTACGTTTATTCAATCTGGTTTTCACGTGCATCGGCGCAAATGAAACGGGAGAAATTATAATCTCGACCTCCGCCTCCTCTCGCTCCACCTTCCACAAACTTCTTCTTCCTGACCGATGCCGAGAGACGTGTAACTGTGAACCGCTCTTTCATATCAATCTTCGCATCGATTTAGTAATTTCAAGTAATTACCGCAATTCCATTTCAATTTTTAGAATGGAAACAAGCATAGTGTGTGAGAGAGAGAAAAGCGGAGAGAAACCGAAACGGATGCAATCTTACAGGCCAATTAGAAAAACGCATTTGCATGTTATATTAGTTCTCTCTTTCTCTATCCATTATTATTTTTTTTGTTCATAGCTAATTAATGTACTAAAAGAATTAGCATACAATATTGTCTTTTTTTACATAATACGTTTCGGTGAGCCGAAGAAGTATGAAAGAGAGAAAAAAAAATGTTCTCTAGGGAAGCGGAGTTACATGACACAGCGAAAAGAGAGGCGAAGTAAAAGCGCGCGCCTGAGAATGATTGTTTCCATCCAAACATTACAATATATTGCTGAGAGCAAAACAATCCCGAATCATATGTAGCGTATGCGAATCTGCCGAATTACCGATCAAGCTCACCAATTCAAAGGTTACCATGAACTTTCTCTGAATATCAATGGAAGCATGTGCAAAACCGATTACTTTTACTAAGATAAACACAGTTTCATGATGCAGAAGAAATGATTGATGATATAATGATATTTTTCCGTTAGCGCAACGTTTCATTTATTGGTTCAAGGCTTTTAATTCTGGTTAAAGGCTACACACCGTGCATTACGACTAGTTGTTACATGTGTACCAACTTAAACCATGTGTTATTTATATATTTACGCAAGTTATAGTAGTAAATTTGCAAACAAGTATTATTTATATAATAAAATGCCATGTTTTTCAAATTTACAAGATGTCCCACAATTGAATCATCGGGTTGTTGAAGAATTAGCTAGCTCTATTACTCAATGTAAGAAATCATAAAATATGTGAAAAATATAAACGTACAAACTTTTCATATTATCTGAACAAATTATATGAATAAGAATTGATAATAAAATTATTTCCATTATATAATTAAAATGTTTTTTTAAACAATATATATTATTGAAATTTTAAAGCAATAAATAGAAAAATAGAATAGAAGCAAATGTGAAATAATTTGTTATTAAATATTATATCAAAGTGAAAATCTTACTTATACATACATTATTTTGTACTTATAAAGAAGTATTTACCATATTTCATTTATTCTTATAAGTATTTCGTAAAGATGTAGAATGGGTAAAACAAGAACTACCTGTACTTGGGTTCTGTACATGCTATGCAGACTTTTTTTTTGTAAATAAAGTAGGATGAGCGCGTTACTTCCTAGAAAGGATTAAAGCTTTATGCGCTGTGAAAATGTTGAAAACCATATAATCTTAAAGCCTTTAAATTAAAATAAATACTTTTAATTAGTGATTTTTTTCCTTTAGAAATGTAATGTAAATATATATATATATATATAAATATGAAATCCAAATGATTTTATTATTTATGTGATTCTTAAATATTTGCTACTATATATTAATTTATACAAATCTGACATTGAATAATACAAGTCGCTGAATAATGATACAATTATGTAAATCGACAAATTTAAATTATAAAATCAATAAGCTCGTTTATTTTATGATCAAATATGTATTGTGTAATTTTTTAAACAAAAAATCTGAAAGAAACAAAACATTCGGTAAGGGAAATATTTCACTATATAATAACTACAAGAATTTAGAATGTACTACCAGTTTAAATCATTCGAAGCAAATTGATGAACGACTTAATTAATATAAATATTGATCGATCGGAATGTCGATGGAGTATGATTAATGGATGATCAAAGAAATAGTAATTTATCGATGCCATTTAAATCGGTTTATTAACTATTTAAGTCCGAAACAACGAGCAGAGGCGAAAGGCAAACATTATAAAATTACTTTTGGACGATTGAATGGTATAGGATGACCTAACCGGTACGTGACATTTGAAGCCTCCCTCCGCCGCTTACAAAAAAAGCACAACAAAGAGTAGAACGAAGACGAGGGTTTTGTTCCCTCGTTTTCCATAGAAGATTAACAACAAGAAGGAAGAAAGAAGAGAAAAAAGTGACCGCGTACTTTTCGCAATTGGCAAAGTGTCACGGAATTCTCCGAATATTAATGGATGGAGGAGCAACAATGGCCGACTTGTTATTCCGTCATAATCATCACTGACGAAATATCATTCCGCGATCCGCATTCGAAATATTAAAGAACCTCCTCCTACAAGGATAAACGAGCGGAGCGATATAAATTTATACGATATATTAAAAAGGAAAGGAAACACAGGCGGTGGAGAATTTGAATGTTAATGGCCATACGAAGAGGAGGCTCGGTGGGAATTTGGCTTTCCACATTAACAACAAAAAAAAAACGTATACACGGATTTAGAGAGAGAAAAAAATAAATAATTCAAATATTTAATTAATTTGTCACAGTCTCCAAATAAATCGGGTATGTAAATTTTCGTGGGAAGCGGCGAGATAAAAAATATATATATATTGGTACTTTTCTTCTGGCGATATTATATCTACCTTGAGGAATTGACTAGCTCGCGGATTCGTATCGATGTTTGCACAGGAACAAATAAGCTCGTTTAAGGAAATGATCTATTTGCATGAAGTTATCTCTGTTTGTACAGCATATCGCGAATAGTTTTTTTCGGCAATTTTCAAGTAACATACTGTTTTCATTGATTTACGCAACCTAAGATTTTCATCTCAAGCTACGCATTACTTAATAAGTACTTATCCAGATTGTCGAATATAATTATAATATTAATACAAGTTACTTGGCAAATATCGCAGAAATAAACATGAGATTTAATACATCTGATTATTATGATCTCTTCGAGTAACTCGATTACTAAAGCTGGCTGCGCACGGATCCGACAAGTGAGAGAATTCTTCCCACAAGCTTTCTCTCCGAAGAGATCTGGTGTGTGTTTGTGTGTGTGCCCGAGAACACGCCCAGGCCCACATTTTCTCGCACATGATTCCATATAAATAAACCGATCCCAATTAAAAAAATATACACAAATAAGCAAAGATAACGATTTCTATGGTTGTTGCAATAAATTTTATGATTATATTAAATGTTTAAAGTTCACAATTTTAAATACGCCACTTGCCATGCAACTTTTACAAGTAATTATGGTACTTGCTACTTGTAAAGTTTAGTAGTAATAGTAGCAATAATCTTGAGATACGCCAAAACATGACCGCAAAGCTTAACACTAAAATGCATCATATGAGGTGAATTGAAAACAAACGCAAAGCGAAACAAAGAGCGAGCTTAACTAAAAGAGTAGCTAGCATGACCAATTTTGTATTGTTAATGCGTCTAACTAACTGCACGCAAGGAATTGGTAAGTAATTCGCAGGATTCGGTGCGTACATGAATTTCGAAAGGGAACTTTAAAAAAAAAGTTAATTAAAAGCGAAAGAAAATATTTACATTCCGCCGAAGATCGGGCCGCGGAGCGAGCGTAATAAAAACAAGAAGAGGAAGAAGAAAAAAATATGAGAGAACTAAAAACCGTGAGAAACTAACGTCGGACGGAGCGGAGCGATGGAGGTGGAGCCGTACCATTATTATAATTTTTATGTTTCAATCGGAGACGTGTAAACAAATTTTAAAATTTTCATTCCGTGATGATTTCGCAAGATGAAATTTGTTTTAATTGCATCCAGTAGTTTCGATTAGGCTCTCTATTCGACATCCGCATTTTACTGTGTGAAAACGCGTCTGAAATTCCATAAACGGGAGGACAGAGAGAACGGAGGAAGAATAAGGCATGGCGTACGGCTATAGAGGTAGGTGATATTAACGGCCGGTTGGGAAAGCGAACCCGAACCGACTTCAAGCGACAGACTGCGTAACGCTTAATTTGTATCAATAAAAGCATTTCTTTTGCAAGGAATTTACTTCATTCGTTTCATTTGGTAACGGATTTCATGGTAACGGCGCAATGAAGCGAGGTTACACTTTTCGCATTTACATTAAATTGTGTTTGGTCATTTGGTTTGCGTTAGGATGTCAGGACTTCCGGTGTAGACGTTTTTCCGAAAAGCATATTCTGTAATCTTCTGCAGGTTTACGTAGTCTTTAAGATATAAATTTTACGCCTTTCTTTTGTGTTGGCATACGTCTGTGAATTTCGTCAATATTTATCGAGGCGAAAAACGTCGGGTTGTCTGTTTGTATTTGATGCTGCTATCTCTCCTCTATGGTCTGTCTTTCCTTTTCAGAGCCGAAACTGAAGGGATAAAGGAACCGATCGGAGATAGAGAGGTGGAGGTGAGGTAGTCCCGATGTTTTCAGGACGGGTAGTAAAGGTGGGAGCAGAGCCTACCTGGCATACAAGTGGTAACTCAACTATAACACCCCTCCGAGCGCAGCTGAGGATTTTTTCAACCACCCAACTATAACACACAAGCACACCCATGCACATAAAAGAAGGGAAGAAAAATATAAAACGTCTGTTGCATTTGCACACTAGAAAAGGGGGAGCAAAATAAATTTAAAAAAATAAGAAAATGACATGAAGAACGCATGAAATTATATAAGAATACAGCCGTTACCACAAAGACTTTTAAACTTAAGCTATTGTTTATGTAATTAAGAGGATGTGGATCGTCAAGGAGGAAAGGAAATATCACTAACCTGTTGCAGTGTGCACCAGACAGAGGAGTACGAGTGCGGAAGATGCTATAATCCAAAAACAATAATCCTTTCTCGAGTTTGTAATCCACATTTTAGTTTAACTTCCCGCATGGGGGCACACACACATAACACACAAATTTCCTTCCGCGGGCACTGAATTATCGTTGTACCTTCCACATGAATAACAGAACAAATTTTAAATAAATAAACAGAAACAGCAACAACCGTGATGAAAATCCTTCGTAAACTTCTTGGAAGGGTTCCTCGAACTCGCGCACTAGGTGTCACGCATATTCTATATTCAAATAATCTGCATGGTATTGTTTGTCTTTAGTTGCTGTTGTTGTGGTGGTCAAAGGAGGCAAATTATAAACAAATGTTGTTTTGGATACGCACACGGGTATCTCCGATACGTCCTCGACAACGGTTCGCTCGGTTCTGTGAGAGAGGGGCTTCGGACGGGACGCGCAAAGATGGCAGCCGGGTACCATAGGGTGTTCCTACGCCATGTACCAACGACCATTTAAACCCTGAAACCACCACGTTACCAGTCGGATTTTTGAAAAATCTGGATGAAAACTGGAAGATTAGTCTTCTACCCTTCGATTGCCGTCGAGATCTTCGATCTTATATAGCCCATTTACGTAAACGGACGCGTGAGAAAATCGCGGTACTACTTTTTGCTTGAGTCTGACCAAGAATTTTCCCTCCGGTGGTTTTCAGATGAACCAATTGCGGAGCGCGCTCGAAACAGGTCCCCGGTTCTTCTGGGCAACAAGCATTGGTCACCTACCACCGCTCTGGTAAAGTTCAGCCGATTTTGGCGGCTTCATTTGCATGTTCGAATTCCCCCCATTGTGAGATCGCCGCCACTAAACTATACAAGCCGAACTACAGTACTTCGCTACACGGGTTCATTGTTATCTCGCAACTATTATTAAACAAGCTCATTAATCAGCCAGAGGAAACAACGAAAAATACGTACACATGCAACACCGAAAATAAAAAGCAACACAAAGCGCGTGTGTGTGAGCTTAATTAATCACTCAAATAAACACTTCTATCTAAGGAAACTAAAACAATTAACAAACATTTGGACCGGTCATTGCTGTTGTCCCATTTTTGTTTTGTTTTAATTACCAATTGTCGCGCCAATCATTCGACTTATTCAGTTGGGATGGTTCAAACGGGAACGAGCATATTCCATTCTAATTCTAAATAAACCATTCAACGACCCCTGAGGTAAGGGGATTACGGAACCCCTAATTATACAAGATGTCACATATGTTTCTTTTTCTACTTATTCCCATTATACGTCGCCTGGACTTAACAGAAAACACATTTTATAATACTATTATTATAATTATTTATTTCATTTATGTAAGTATAATATAGATAATTTCAAAAATTCAACGAGTTATGATTAGGAGTAGGGCCTTGTTTATATTGATGATTAAGTGAGTGTTTCACAGAATTCGGAGTATTCAAAAAGGTAATCGTATTCGTACGTATAAATTGGATTGTTTACGCTTGATGGAGGTTTCTTTGTACTTACGTATTTGTTTATATAATAAAACATATAGACTAAGAGACTTCATAATGGATAGTATATAATTATAATAATAATGGTTAGACACAACAAACTTTCATTTTTAAACAGTTTTGTTTACTTTTTTGAATAAAAAATATTATTTTATTTGCCAATCATCAAAATGTATTTTTGAATATATTAACCATTTTCGATTTTCTTTGTCATCTTTGTTTAAAGCGGATTATACTTTGCAAATATAATGTGTGTTTGCTGTAAATGCAAAACACAAATGTATTTCGGCATGGAACGGATTAACGGAATTTACATTGCTTTATATGGGAAACGTGTTTCACTATACGAGTATTTCACTATACGAGTAAAAATCAGGAAATTTTGGAACAGATTGAACTCGTTAAGCGAGGTTCCACTGTATCTGCATATACAGTGATATGTTGAAATCAGGTTAATCGATCAAGTATTAATTTGTAGTAATAAAATGATACAATTAAATATAATAGATTAATAATATTTATAACAATTGTAAAAGTTATGATTCTAATGTCTATGAAATTATTGAAAATTTTTAATGGAAATAAATGATTACAAATATGATGGCTATGGACAATTACTTCAATATTTGCTGTTGATATGTTCTATCAACTCTGTACATAATATAAACCAGAAATATAGATTTACTCATACTCATTGAATGATAATTATTAACTTTTTTTTGGAAAAGTTATGAAAATTCAATTTATTGTGGACCCTGCAAAATATTAGTTGGCTCCAAACATTAAAAAATTTTCTCCCATTACAGTGTCCGGCGTAGAAAAAAAATTAAATTAAATGTATTAGAACAATTGTATTCCAAAAAAACTATCCACAACAAAAAGACGAAAACTATTGAGTTTGTGCATAATTATCAGACGTTTTTGTAGATGGGGTTTTTGTTAATAAAAATTGCTGTTTTGTTTACTTTTTGAAATAATAATATTATTTGCAAATGGGAAGCACTTATTGAAGTAATAGATGATGAGTACGCTCCGGAATATTCATTTAAGAATGTTATTGTAGATTCTTTATCTATCTTTTTTAATAATAAATATTGTTTAAAATCCGCTGACAATTATGCACCGAACCTAATATTCAAATATTGTTTATTTAAAACTATAATAATACATAATGCTGTAACATTGACGACAGAGTTTATTAGTTCCATTGTAAAAAATAAACAAAATTTCTATTTAAAAATAATATTGACATTTTCTATTTATAACAACGTAAAATTTACATTTTATTACTTATTTTTTAAATTAAAATAGTTTACTTTATTGTTTATCGTACATTTCAATGTAAAACATTTGTTATGTAAAATATATATATATGCATTAGAAAGTATTTTTGTTGCTCTACAAACCTATCTACATCAATTTTTCGAATAAATTAATTTTCAGCCATTTTAATCAATTTTCAGTCGAAAGTAAAGCCCTTCATTTGTTTCGACATGGAACAAAAAAGGTGATAATCCGTTGACGTAAGGTCCGGAGAGTACAGAGGATGCGGTAGAACAACCATTCGAGATGATTTAGAGCCTCCTTGACGATATTGCGGTTTTTGGGTGAAGAAGGATGACTTTACTACGTCGATCGACCATTTTCTGCAGAATTGCTTTGTTCACGCGATGAAGTTGGGCGAGATAGCGTCCCTTGTCGACAGTCTTGTTCATCTCCAGTATTACCCAGTAGATTACACCTTCACAGTTTCACCAGACGCAGATAATTGTCTTCTTAAGATGAGATCTTGACTGCCATTTTTGAACATGGAAAAACAATTTTCGACGGTCCTCTGAGCTATAGTGTAGAACCATTATTATTATAATTGTTATTATTAATATAGTGTATTCACGAACTAGAAACATCCACGGCGTCTCTTAGTCACATTATTATACAAACATATACATCAGCATAAAGACATCTCCACCGTGTTCCCGATTCGATACACATAATATAAACAAAGGGTACCAAGCGAAACATTCCCATCGATACGCCTATACCTTAACTTCGAATTCAAGTCCTTATTATAAACACATAATAATCATTACTCGTACAATCGTTATCAATCATCTTTTCATATAAACAAATGCATAGGATTTTGTCTCGGTCTTATAATAAACAAAACCACTAAGGCCGATTCCCGTGGGAATATAATCATCAATATATACAAACCCTACTCCCAATTACAAAACCCACCCCGTATTAATAAGAATTAACTTTGTAAGTAGAATAAGTATTTAGAATTAGTCTCATAAGACGAACATAGTCTCAACAGAAGACCTAGTAACGAATAAAGTTATGCAAAACCAAACGAATTTCATTAAATTTTCAACAACTGAAACTCCACAACGACAACACCAGACAATATTCCACTGTGTCCAGAATTCCATCCCTGGGACACGACAATAGCATTTACAACATACACGTCACAAATGTTGCGAACTGCTTCCGTAGCTTTTTTTTTGATCACGATGAAAGGAGAAATAACTGTAACTTCCATTTCAAAATTGTGAAAGGTAATTAAAATAAAAATTTATCAAATGTTTTCATTTTGTATAATTTACTTCTTAATCGATATTATATTGTTAATAAACTGTCAAGTTTTTATTATTATACACTACAAAACGATGATTCAATAAATTTTAAGCACTCTCTTTATCGATATATTCGAAACTGTTTATTGAGCCTTCCGGAAAACTTCTTTCTAATTTCTTCTTCTTTTTCTTCTAGTAATAACATCTGGCTTTAAATTAGAATATTTTTTATTTTATAAGGGTCTTTAAAATTTCGGACTTCGTTATATCTTCGTAAATTGAAATTCTTTGTGTTTATATAAAATCTTATATAGCAGAAGATAAACACTATTCATCATTTCGAATGTGACCCTATTAGAACGAGAGAAAAAAAACTAAATTTTAATAGAAAAGTCGATCGTTATGATTTTTTAAGCGATCTCAAGAACGAACAAGTTTTGCGCCTCTGTTATATATAATTAGGGCATCCATTACCGGTAAATGGTTAACCGGTTTTACCGTCCAACATGATTACCAAAATTACAAGAAAATTTTGATAAGAAATACCGGTAATTTTTCTAATAAAGATGTTTTAACAATATCACTAAAATCCAACGAGTGGAAGATGATTTTGTCGATTATTTGATATTTGTTATTATTAATTATTTACTTCAATAAATTTTAATTTTTTGTTAAGTAAAAGTGTATATGTATATTGTTGTTTTTTTCATTTGCACACACAATTTTCTATTGAAAATTGGATAAATTTTGAGCACAAAGCATTATTGCAGTCAGTTTAAAGAAAATGTTTACATGTCTGTAATGTAAATATACAATGTTGCAAGACAATTTGACTAACAAATACATCTTGTTACTCAATACAGATGTTTTATATTTATTATAATAATACAGATTTATATACAATGACGAAGTTAATAAAACTATAATATTTAAATCAAGTAAAAAGTTGAGTCCTACGAACGAATGCAAAAGAACACGTTAAAAAATAAATCTTCGACAGATGTTATGCAGTTGCTTCATTGTTTCGCTTCCGGTTCCCAAAAACCCGTTTCGTTCCTTGATTTAATTACGTATCCGAAATACACATACATACGCACAGCTAGAGTGAGAAAGAGAGATGAGTCAAGCTTTCGTCGTGAATTTTTCGTCCACAGGCAATAAACGTCGATGGAAAAAAAATGTGAAGAAATGAAACAAACAGTGTGACTCGCACAACGTGTTTCCGGTTTTCTAAAAACTTTTCTCTGATATTCGTTAACGGCTGTTTTTTTCCTTATATTGATTAAGCTATAATTTATATCGCAATCGCTCCGGGCTTTTGATATATTTTTTTGTGTAATGTGTGTCGTTTTGATAGGTGAAACAGTCTGCATATGTGCTACACATATCACCTCGTGTTTCCTTTGACCCATAATTTCGGATGTTTTGCAAGAGTTTGTAGCGGATATATCACTTTGAGATATCAAATTCGTTGGCTAAGATTTACTGCAGACTTTCAATGCAAAAATATAGAATTTCAGGTATTGCAATTTAATACTTCTCTATTTTTTTTATAAACAAAATACAGTGGAACCTCGCTTAACGAGCATAATCCGTTCCAAAATTTCCGGTTTTTTATTCGTATAGTGAAACAATTTTCCCCATATAAACTAATGTATTATACTATAATGCGTTCCATTTTGTGAGTCATTTTTCTTACAATTTATTTTGCTCATTATACGAGATGCTCGTTAAGCTAGGTTCCACTGTATGTAAAAAATATATGATGGAAAATTTTCCATTCTTGAATGCTTCTTGATTAAAAGATAATACACTTCGTTTGGACAAAAACACATTTTCGAAACGTGTCCTAATGACAACACTGAAGTCAAAACATCTATGAAAGGAACGACCATCTGCTTGTAAATGTACAGGTAGCTCACGCAAATTCTACGGGTTTTTGCGTTCAGGTAGACATTGCGTGTATGGAAAATAAATTCTCACTTTACGAACTTATCATTGGAACGAATTAAGAGACAGGAACTACAAGTAATTTTAAATCATAAGAATTGTACAAATTTATTAGACAATACATAGTAATTAAATATCTATATTAATATTCCGGACAAAAACAGTAATTTATGTATTAGAAAATATGTTGTGTACATTTTTTTTAGAATTAATTTATATTTAGCTCAATTACAAATTTAATTTGTTTTCAAATTTTATAGTAAATTCCTGACTGATCGAAGACGCACTCTGCAAGGTATTTAATTAATTGCTGTATTTAATTAATTTTTATTTACTAAATGAAGTAAATTATTGTTATTTGTGTATTAATAATAATATTTGTTGCAACAATAAATTATAAAATTTAAAAAAAAATCAATACAATAATAAAAATAAAATTCAAATGCTACAAGAAGGTATTGAACATAGGTTATTCTAACCTAATGTACAATGAAACCTTGTTTAACGAGCATAATCCGGATTTTTACTCGTATTGGGAAACAGTTTTCCCCATATAAACTAACTATAATTTGATCTCGATTTTTAATGATATTGCTTTTCATATCGTATTATTAATTTTTTCACAATAAAAATCACAAATAACGTCCTAACACAAGTTTGGAAATATGTGATCACCAGGGTCTATATCGAAAGCCCGACAACCGAAATCCCGTCAATCGAAATCCCGAATGTATCAAAATCTCGATAACCATAATCCCGACTGTATCAGAATCTCGACAACCATAATCCCGATTATATCAAAATCTCGACTGTAACAAAATCCCGACTATATCGAAAATTTCTACAATAACATTTATAAATTATTTCGGAGCGTAGTCACCATGTGCTACATTTTTATTATTAATAACAATAAATTATTATTAATTTATTTGATTTTGTTGACAAACAATATGAAATAATCTCAAATACAATTCGATTATTAATTGTTGTTATTTATTATTAATAACAATTAAAAGTGACTACGCTCCGGAATAATTTAAAAATGTTATTGTAGACATATAGTCGGGATTATGGTTGCCGGGATTTTGGTACAATCGGGATTATGGTTGTCGGTATTTCGAACGTCGGCATTTCGATACAGTAGAGATTTCGAACGTCGGGATTTCGAATGTCATTTCGATAATATATTTGTTTATATGAATAAGCGTACATAGTTTATTTAATATTTTAATAATTGTTAGACATAATACATTTTTGTTTTGCTTTTACTGCAAACATAAATTTACATACAAAGTATAGTCCGCTATTAACAAAGCTGACAAGGAAAAACGAAGTTTTGAAAATAATGTCTGCTATAGAATCCGGGACTTCTCTTCTCCTCGTCACTCGTTAAACGAGTCATTTTTCTTACAATTAATTTTGCTCATTAAGCTAAATGCCCGTTATGCGAGGTTCCACTGTATATAAAAAAGGTATCAGGTTCAGCAAGACAACTTCAAACCCAATTCTATTATATGATTGATTGCACATAATAGAATTGTGCATTGATGCAATTCACATCAATGAAACAAAAGTATTTCTTTAGAATTTATAGTAATTATTTTAACATAGAATTTCAATTAAGTTTAAAAATATCAACTTTGTGAGTTCTGTTCTCTGGGACACATACACTGCTTAATAAAATATGCTTAAAAAAAATGTAATAGATTTAACTAAATTTGATTAATTTGTAGGACAAACTACCTACTAATTATTTTACATAATGTTCTTTTAGCGATTGTGTATAATTAAAGGAAACGCGATAAGAAATGATTAAGACATCAAAAATTACCGTGATTTTTGTTTACCGGTAAATATTTTTAGTAAAAACTGGTTATTCATTTAATTAAAAATTTTGTGTAAAAACAATAAACATGCACTTTTATTTAATAAAAAATAAGATTTGAGTTTAATACATTACAAGTCCTTACTGAGAATTAAAGTGTGTACGCTTTGACTACTGCGTATCTTATCTAAATTATTCAGACTTATTTAAATTTTCGTAATTTCAACGACAGCTGTCAGCCATCACCAGACAATAGTAATAAAAATAATTAATAATAGATTATTTGAACTGAAACAAATTATAATTATCTTATTGATGTATTGGACAACAACTGGAATTTTTGTGAGTTGATCTTACGCAGACAATATATCAATCATAGATTTATGGGTTACATGAAAATTAAGTTATATAAAATCAGGTGCACTTAACGCCAATTGTATAAGTAGCAATGTAAATATTATCAAGTTAATAATATTAATTTCCATATCATATTGGCCTGTTATCAAAAAATCAACGATATTCCTACCTAAATTCATAATAGAGAAAATTAATTTAGCTAGGAATCTCATACTTCATTTTTGAGGATCGACGAAATAATTTTCTACTGATCGTATTTTAGTTATATTTGGTAAAATATCTTCATGTGCAACATCACATTCAATTTACGAAATTACAGAAATTACCCGATATTTATTATCAAAATTTACCAGTAATTTGATGTTCATTACTCCATTACGTAGATATTTTGGTTTTAACGTTGTTGATTTGTACAACATAATTCCTATAAAACAACCGATCTGTAAAATATTTTCAATATTTTGTAAATCATTATATTATACACAATACATAAATTATATACAATTCAAATTTATTATTGCATTAAATGTCAACTGAAAATACAATAAAATTGTCTACAATATAGTTAAACGTGTTTTTATTTGGCTTTTGGGAAGTATTTCGTTTGTAGCTTAATGAGTAAATGATTTACGATCTAAACGATAATTATAAGTTAATTAAGTTATTTATCTACAACTGTAATTTTATTAAAAAAAAATAGCAAATAATGTGGAAACTGGGTTCACGCTCGCCGCAGTTCAATAATGGGAATACTAGCATCAGATACGTAAGATATACGAAAATAGTAATAACTTTGGTTTTCAAATAACTTTTAAGAAATAATTATGTTCGACAATCTGTTGTCAATATTTATTTGAACTAAACATAATAGATGAATAAAGGGACAACGAATGAAATAGCAAAGATAAAGTTATTGTTAATGCCACGTAATAAATAGGATTTATATTTGGTTTCATCAAAAAATGCATCTGTGGGAATGCTCGTTAGAAGACACGAACAGAAATAAAGAAAGAACAAACTGGATTCGAGGCAAAGTGGCTAAAGAAGGAGCGCGTTCTTTATGGAATTAATAATGGGCAAACAAAAAGAGGAGCACCAGTAATTATTACCATTTGAAGCTCAATTGAGGCTTAATTGCGCGCTTCGAATACACCCGTCTGTTTGATCAATAATAACATCGGAATGACGAAGATCGAAACGTGGAGCTAGCTGCGATCCTCGGCCATGGCATCAGGACAGACCGTGAAGCTTCCGATCCTGAACAAGGATATCATCGAGATCAAGAAGAGGATCCAACTGTCCGGTGAGCGAACGCCTGAAAATAGAAACTGTAACAGAAGTGCTTCCATGAAGTCTGCAATTAGCGAGTGTGTGAAGAAGCCACACCATTGCCGTGTGATTTGAGCCGCTAATATTTTCACACAAAATTATAACAATTGGCCGTTGCGAGCGTGTGCAAACAGCGAACTGCAATTGCATAATTGCATTTGGAAATGCGTTTCATAACCTTTTTTTTCACTTATTTTTTTTTTGTAATACATCTGTCGTTAACTGTGCAGAGGGACAACGCAAAGCTCTGTTCGAAGAAATCGAAACGGAGAGAAAGAGAAATCAGGATGAGATTCTCGTCCTTAAAAAGCGCATATCCTTGATGACTGTCAACTTGCAGGAGCGAAAAGGTAGCGCTCTAAAGTCGCGCTTCCCTGTTGCACAATTGGGACCCGTGTTGAAGAACGCCGGTGATAAAACCGCCGAGGAAATTGCAGGAATCCTCGATCTTCAGCGCATCGACAAGACAAAAAAGTTGGATTTAATCAAATACCGTCTGTCGCAGGTAAATTTCTCATTTAAACTTTCTTGGATACATTACAAACACTTCTATTTTTTGCAGAAACAAAAACTATTATCCAAGTTGGGAAAGGAATACCAGGATTTGGTTAAGAGCAAATCGAAGAAAGTTCTCTCCGCGAATATAGAAAAACCTTTGGATAAGGCAGGAGCTATTAGTTACACTTAGTTATTAGTTTTGTAAAATCTGTTATGTATATTTTATTTTAGGCGATATGTGAGCTACAGAATAAAATCAACGCCGTGGAAGTTCAGTGGAACGAGGCGGAACACGTGAGCGTCAAGTACAAGGAGATCGAAAGATCCTTACAGGACGATGCAGCGCGTTTCGAAAGTAAAATCCTTAAGCTCGAGGACGAACTCAAAGCTCAACAAATGGAAATCAATAATTTGCAGAAGGTAAGCAATTGTAATTAACTAAATTTAAAACAATCTAATTTTTAAAGAACGTCAGGTATTTGGATAATACTGGTCACCCAGTAACGACTATTATGAAATTATCCTTTGAGGATTCTCAGTAAATTAATCTAATTTCTATTTGAAATCTTAAAATATTCGTTAATTAAATTACACACATACAAACATGTAACTTATAATGAAAATAACAAACTTTGATCGATGTTTAATGGAATGTTCATATTTAATGGAGTAGTTTCATATTTGGAGCTAATTTACTAAAATGTAATAAAATATACAACGGAATATGGTTTCAGTAAAAACGACTCATCGGACGTTATAATTTCAGTTTAAAATAAAAAATAACTTATTACATTATTCATGCCCTTCATGGTAAACTGTATTAGTTATTTTCTAATGCAATGCACGTATACGTATTGGTTAAACTACAAAGAACTTAATGTACTTGTATAATTGTTGTAGTAATTTCACATTTAATTTAACTATTTTTCAAATGCTAGATTAAAAATTAGGAAACTTTAAATTTTCTGAGTAATAAACAAAATGTAATTGAAATCAGTAAAAATTGTAATTTAATTCGCTGGTCAACATTTAATTATAGAAAGCAAGGTTGATTCAAGTTACATTTCAGATATAATTATATCATCCAGGGTTCGGTAACAGCTGCACTTCTATCAAGTTATGTAACAGCGTGCCTGGTGTTAACGATTAACCGTAGGAGGAAATCATCGGCAGATGCGGGAAATGTAAATGGACGTTGGAAAATTTTAAGAAAGTTGTTTCGTATTCTTCTATCGTCACGAAAATCTTATCTATTCGTACGATCAATGTTAATATTACATAAGATAATATTAATTCGTAAGTTTAATGATTATGGTTCTTTCTATTATATACAGTGGAACCTCGCTTAACGAGCACCTCACATAACGAGCAAAATTAATTGTAATAAAAATGACTCGCTTAACGAGCGACGTTTCGCATAACGAGTGACGATTAGAAGAGAAGTACCGGATTGCGCGCCTTCTACATCATTTTTAAGTCTTGTGTACACATATTATGTGTCTTTTATGTTCTTTATCAGCTTTGTTTAAAGCGGAATATACTTTGCAAATATAAATTGTGTTTGCTGTTAATGCAAAACACAAATGTATTGTGTCCAACCATTATTATAATATATAAACACGAGGTTCCATTATTCATTATTCTTTCTTATTTTGTTTATTCATTCGTAATTAAATGTAATAACCTAAATTTTAGTTTAGAAGTGTGTTTTGATTGTTTGAAAATTCACAAGTATCGAAAAAATATAAATTGATCATGTTAAGATTTATGGATTTCATTATGTAAATATGTGAAATGAAATTTGCATGTTTCCTTACAAGTTTGATTAGCGAGATAAATTGGTTCAATACGAATAATTTATAATTACATACAGTAATTTCAATTCATTACTAGACAAAAAATGAATTAAAATTACTGCATGTAATTATAAATTATTCGTATTGAACCAATTGTTGTAAAATAATTTAAGAATTGTTCAAAGACTTACCTTTATCTCTCAAATGGAATTTAAATGTTTCAGGAAGTTCTGGATGACACGTTCATTCTGTTGCTCATAGTGATAAACAATGATAATTATACCAACATTTAACATTTAAAAACTTAATCGAATCATCCATTCCGTCTATCGCAGCGCTAATAGCGGTGAATTAATGTTTAATTAATTTTAAATATTTATTGAAGTTTCGTACAATTGTGAAAATGTACAATAGTGAAAACCTAGTGATGGACAAAATCTTTATAAAAACCGGTATTTTGAGCAGGCTTGTTGGTTTTTACTTGATCTATGTCTTCGTTCTGTGATTTTGTATTCAACACATCATTTTTACTTTGAACTTGTTGATGTCGTTTTCCATTCGTATTTCCTCTGGAACCATGTTATATTGTGCAACGCCCTGCACAATGTATTACTAAAAGTTTTAGTTTAATACTTAGAATTATAATAGTGACCAATATTTATACTGGTTATATTTTTAGATGAATTTAGAGGCCTCTAAACTTAGAACTTTGGCGAGGAATGCTTTAATACAAGAAGAAAAAAATGTCGTAGAGGCGGGAAGCTTGAGGGAAAGACAGGCCACAGAAGGTCGAAGGCTTCTGGAGGAACGACGACATGACCTAGAGCAGCTGGAAAAGCGCTTTTACCATGGTAAACCTCAAATACGAACGGATCCAGATGAGGAATGTCCGAAGGAGACTGAGACGCCTGAAAGCATGGATCAGGATCCGATAGATTACTACAAGGAGATCTTCGAAGTGCTGAAAGATGTCACCGGTTCGTCTAAGAAAGTACCAGTTTTTGAAACGGTATTATAGAATTGTATGTTACAGGTGGATCGACTATTGACGAAGTGCTAGACAAGTTCCGAGCGCAAAAGGAAACGCAGGAGCAATTGGCGAGCTTGAGGCGATGTTCGGAAGAGGAGAAGAAGAGGCTGGAGCAGGTGCAGGATTCGTACGTCGTCGAATTGGAGCATTGGAAGTTCGTGGAGAGCAAAGATATCCAAAGGTAAGTTTAATCAATGAGTATTATATGCAACCAGTTTAACTTTTTTTTATATTTGTGCAATTTCTCATTACCCAAAAAATCAAATTAAAATTATTCTAACCTTTTTGACCTCAAAGAACACTAAACTCAAAAATTGTAAATACTGTTGAACAGCGCTTAACGAACATAATCTGCTCCAGATTTACTCGTAACGGGAATCAATTGTATCTTAATAAGAGCTTCTTAGATAATAATACAAAATAGCCCTTTGCAGCAGTTAATCATTATTATATATCTCCAAAATGTAAATGAACCAGTTTTACAAGGAAAAAAGATTATTCATCCGAAATACATGAAGTCGATAACTATGATAGAAATTTATAATATTTATTTGTGAGGCAAATACAGAAAAAGCCCAATCTATTCACGGATAAATTTGATTGAATATTTACATAAACAATTCTCATTCATGAAAAATGATGTACATTATACCATAAAATTACTAAAGATCCATGATACCAGACCGTAAATCAGAAGAATGAAATGCTACACCTTAAGGTTAAGAAAAAAATATTGAAATATACTATTCAGAGCAGGTACTTATGTTTGGTAATAATTCAGTAAGCCATAATGAAGTGATATATTTCATACTATTAGTCATTTTTGATGTTTCTCTTTGTATATTATTATTTAATGTTTGTCAATCAGACACTACTGTCAACAAAAACATAATACGCAAAAAAGGAAATTATTTAAATCAAGTACAACTATTTATTAATGATATATTTTAGAGGATCTCTTTTTATAATATAATTCAGCAAGTTAGATGCCTTTTTCGCTATATAATGATATAATCGATATGAATGATGGATGAGATTAAACTTATGCAGGAACTCGTCAGAGGTGGACAATGTTCTCGAGGACATCGAAGATGAGAAACGAAAACTACAAGAGATGGATTCTACGATGGAACAATTGGATGAATCGACGAAGACCATCACGCAGAAGTTACTTTCCATATACCAAAATTTCAAACCTGGCGTGGTCGAAGCTTCAGCGATGATCATGCTAGAATTCCTACAGACCATTTTCGAGGAAGATTTCAAGGAAAGAACCGACGGGATTCAGGTGATAATTGTGTATCTTAATTAATCTTACAGATTATACCCTTATTTTCTTATAGGTAGAAGACCTGGAACTGCCGACGGACAAATGGCTACCGTCGCCATACAACGGAATCATGCGAAGGACTCCTCTCCCGCAGCTCGGATCTCCTACTCCGGTTCCGCCTCCTGGTACTACAATAAAAGTAATTATTCGACTTGAAGCAAGAACCCATTTTTTTTTCAGGATCCGATGAAGAGGAGGAAGTCCCATCGCGCGGATTTCTCAAACGCCAAGCTCAGCTAGTTGTGGACGCAAAAACCAAACGCAAGAACATGCGTTTCCCATTGCCCAAAGTCAGATAGATAAAACACACATAATATGTTACATAAAAGTGAATTTATTTAACTTAACAGGTAAAAAAAAAATAAAAAACAGACGTGATTTCGTCCGCTCGAGGGGTGTATCGAAAAACAGAGATTAAACTGAACAGTGTGCGCCCAAAATAATAATAAAAAAAAAACATTGTTCAAAACCGCACGAAGTCACAACATTCCAATCTCATCTCTTGCATAAACATATTTATATATATATATATAAATCAATAATAAATGTACAAACTAACAAATCAATGAAATTAGTTTACGATTCGTGTAAGTATCTACACCCAGTCTCATATTAAACTATTTAGTGGTAATAATAAAATAATAATAATTGACTAAATTTACAAATTTATATACCTTACATGTGTATATATATATAAATTCTTCTTTTGTTTCAACTGAATTAATACGATGGAGAAAATAATAATAATTATTGTCGAATAATAAAATAATTATCACAAGTGGAAAATAAGACAAGTAAATTATAATAATAATAATTACAAGAGTTCGTTCCTTCCTAAACAAAACAATAATATATATTTAATAAAAGATGGCTCACATTGGCAGTGTTAAGATCGTCTTCTCTCCGCAATTATTTTGGCAGTATTTTTTTATTTAAGAATTGAAATTAAATATCTTTCAATGGGAGTGAGGGATGTAGTTGGTATTGGTTGAGGATGTATAAAAAGTGAGCGAAAACACAACGTCCTAACCAAATCAATTCATCAGTATAAAACTATACGTATTTATATATTTCAGCTATTGTCTTTTCCTCTATTTCTTCTTGTTTGTTTTATATAATATATATGTACTGGTCGTCAATAGAAACACACACCTAATTTAATCCAGGAACAGAATTTGCTTACTCGTAGAACAACACATCCTTTACGCGAAATTCACGGAACAAAGAACGTAACATAGTAATTATAATAATTTTCTGCCAACAACATTTTGATATCTCTTCAACAACAATGCACTATCTACCAGCATTTAAACGTAAGCTATCTCTCTCCTCGTCAATTTTCAACCTCCAAAAATACGAACAGTTACATCCAAGAGAGAAATAAGAAATACATATAATATGGACTATGTACACTATCTTTTCTTCTTCATAAAAAAGAAAAAAATAATATATATATTTTTTTTATAAAATAATAATAACATTTAAATAATTTAAATCCTTCTTTCCTATTCTCTTTAAATTCTTTTTTTGTATGTCTTCTTGTTCTACCATTATTTTATAGTGAGAGCGGAGATGAAAATATCACCTTTGATTATTCAATTCTGTTCGTGGGGATGTCGCCGGATTGGTATGTTTCGTTGCATTTCTGTCTAATTGTGTCTTGATACGACTGAAAGAACCATTGCATATTTATTAAAACTAAAAATGCTTCTCTCGCCATTGGGCGAGTTGAAGGAAACTCAAGATCAACAACACCCTGTAAATGCACGCGTATAAAAAATAACGATCTTGTGTCCATGTCGTGTATGAGAAGGTAATGTATAATAAAATAATTAAGTGTTCTGGTATAGTTTGTTTCCTATTTTTAGCTTCACTCGAACTGTTCTTTCAGGTTGCAATGGGTGGGACGGGGCGAAGCGAACAATTTAAAGTCAGGTCATTCCATTACTGACGCCCTCCCACTCCATGAGATACTCAAGCTTACCGGTCGGACCGTACCGTTTCGCCTTCACTGTGAATCTCTCCCCGTCCTGAATGCGGGTGGCCGCCCCGAAGTAGCTGTGTACTGAACTCTTCAGGTCGTCCATGCTGATGTCCTGCTCCTGTTTAACCGGGCTGGGCTTTGGCGTCGGCGGTTTCTTATCCTTCTCTACACTTTTGTCTTGTCTTGTCCTCAGTCGTCTGCCGTTAAGCGCGTAATCCACGCAGCTGGAAATCTGCGTATTCGTGGACGAAGATGCTCCGGTTGCGTTAAGATTCGACCTTAGACTCCTCTGATTCCAGTCATTGGCGTCGGGTCTTACTGGCACTACTGCTGCAGTTTTGCTTGCAGTTTGTCCGTAGTTAGCGGGCACTTGTTGACCGCTCCTGCTCCGTCTCAAACGACGTCTCTTGACTTCCCCATTTGGTCCGATGCATATGTCCTTCTCGCTGAGCTGCCGTTTCAAGGGGCGAACGATTGGTCGCCCCGTAATAACTGCAGTCAAAGGAAGCGGTAGCGTGATAGAGTCCTTACTTCTCCTCTTCTTGGTATGCTCGTCCGTGTTGCTCCGTAGGAATGCAATGAAAGGATTATTCTTTCCTTCGAAGTCCTTGGGTGGAGGGATGATGAGGTCAAGTGTGCTTTTCGACGAGGTCTCGTCATCCGATGTATCACATGGCGTATTCAACTCCTGCAATGTTTCCTTTTTCAAGACGATATTGCTGGACTGCTCCGAGTAGTCAGTAGACTCTAGGCCGGTATTGCTAGAGTCTGAAGTCGGAGGCGTCGGTGGTGCTGATACTGATGTAGGCGACTATGAACAAAAGCAAAACATAACACTCAAAACAAAATACAAACTTGCCAATTCATTATTCTGTCTACTTCCGTCATTGTAATAATAATGTACCAAATAAAAACTATATATTGAACCTATTATATCATTACCATTACTTCTTCATATTAAATATTTAATTTATTTGACTACTTTATTATCTAAATATTTTTTTATTTTAGTAGATATTATTTTTTCTACTAAATTAGCAACATTTAATTGGTTGAGTAAACATAAAATTAGTTTATGTGTGTAATAATGCCAGTATCTAACTGTACAAATAATAGTACCTATCAAATATATAAAGAAATTTGGAGCAAAGTGTAAATTCAACATTCAATATTGAAAAAGATTAGGCATACCTATTATTTTATTTCATACTGAAGGGTGAATTACAAAATGTAATATTTTTCTACTATCTAGTTTCTTCATAATATCAGTTTGTATTTCTTTTGTAAAAGTACAAGAAATTGTCTTAAATGATATTCCAATAGATTTTCTCAATTAATATATTATAATCAAAACAACTTGACTGTATTTATATTTATCAGAATTAAGTTTAGTATTTTTCAGCTAACAGATTAGAAATATGATAGTCATTAAGGTGATTATGTCTAGAAAGTACATTTGCAAATATTATATAATAGAAACTTTCTGTTTTCAATTCTTAAATGACATTAATTAATGAAAATATTGTGTATTAGTAGCAATTAGGAAATGCATTGGTTTTGAAAAAAAAGCTAAGATACTTACTTCATAAGGCAGTTTGGTAATAGCAGATGATGCAGTGGTATCAGATTTCCGGACAGAATCCTTCTTCATTAATCTGGAGTCAGTGCTTCTCCTCTGCCTGTGGGGCTCTGCATCTAAACACCTTTTGCACATCCAATTTGAATCTAAAGAAAACGAAGATGTACATCTCATCCAACATAACACAGCACTCAACAAAAGCAGTACAAATAAGTAAATTTGATATCTCAAAAACCTAATGTGCAAATAAAAGATAAAAACATTATCATTTATAAATAATTCTGAATATCATTCGGGTATAACAAACAACAGCAGCAAATTGCTGTTTAATGATTCAAATCTAATGAGGACATGTAATTAAAATATGCAATGTAGTATAGAGAAAGTTTTTAAGCTCACCTTCTTTGTGGCAATTGGCCGGGATCTCAGGTTGATGACACTTTTGATGATACCCCCTACCGCATTTGTAGCACACTGTGATCTCCTGCTTGCTCTTAGGTGCTGATTTCTTGCACACCACGCACAGGTGTTCCTGTTCGGAGGTGCTCAGCTTCACAAGGTCTTTGAAACATGACCAGTTGTCTGTGTTGTCACCAAACTTCACCAAGCACTGTTCTCGAATACTGTCCACCTCAACAACCATACCAAAGTAGTAACGGCCATCCTTGTGCTTCCACAGAATGTCCTGACCTGCAGTAAATTCGGAAGGGGGTTTGCGTTCCACAGTGGTGGTGGAGTCGGGAACGGCGGTGGCATCTTCGATTTCAGCGCCTGTCTTCTTGTTGTTATTGCGTTGATGCACCTGGGTGGTTGGTGCCAGTAGGGAGGTCATGGTTCTGCCGCTGCCGAGCTAGACGCGCTTCCGCCGAAGGCTTGACACTGTGGAAAACAATAATACGCGAAGCACTCATTAGTTACGAAACGCTACAAACAAACACACCCCAGTTATCGGAGGCGCAGCACCCCCGGATATAACCAATAAATCATCAATAAAATCAGACGAGGGTGGTCATCAGGGATACAAGATTAGTTTTAATTCCCAATTACCTATCGAATCTAGGCGAGAACCCCTCATGGAACTCCATTAGGTGCGATTGCAGTTGCAGCCATTGTAACACAACTGTTTATACACTGTCGAGAAGCCCGCCAAAGAGCGGTCTAAGATGAGATAGAGGTTCCAAATTGGATGCGACGGCGACACTCCTGGGCACACGCAAGGAACGCTGGCTGCAATTTAACCGTCGCATTCATTCATCACGAAAGCACACGTCCCCCGGGAAAACAGCAAGCAAATTAAGTGAATAATTTTCAAAAAATAACGAAAGCTTCGGCCGATATTAGAGGTGTCACTTTTCCATGGTATACACTGCCGACAGGCGGCAATGAAATTCCCCAAATCAGTAACACAACAACCGACCGATTCCAATGATACCAACCGACGAATAGTGCCCCCTGATTATAAAAAGAGCGCCAAGCATTTAAAATTCAGAACATTTTATTCAACTCTACCAATATTTATTTATAATTGAATATTCAAGAAATTAAATATATATAAAGAAAGATAATATAGTACATATAAGTATGTCTTATTAAGAATTGTTTTTAAGTATTATTATTATGTAAATCAGGGTTTCCGCGGTACATTGTTGTTCTGTGAAAACCTGGAATGAAATAATTACTAAATAAATAATAAATATTTTTGTCATTTTTTTTTAATTTTATTAATTATGTGTTATTTTACCTACCCTATAAAGTTTGGGTAATCCTGATGTAAATAATTGAATTTTCTACCCTTTTGTAGATTTTCTTGTCAACATTCATAATAATATCATATTATTTTAATATCTAAAGAAAACAAAATTATAAGTTTAGTTTTTTGATTATTTTAAGAAAGAATGATATCCGTTTCTTCGATCTTATCTTTAAGGTCTTTTGTACTCTGTTATATATCACGGTGCTTCTGCAGTATGTGCAGGAATTTTAACTGGAATTGCTGAATAGTTTTTATGTTTGATGCGCTTGCTGTTTCTCACAGTTGAATGTCCCAAGCCCAAAAAGGTTTAAAGCACTAGTAAATTAATTTTTAACAAAATGCAGGCTAAATATAATAATTTAGTTGATTTAAGATTAATGTAAACACAATAATGCACTTCATAGTGATTTTGTTATACAGGTATCCCGACTTATGAACTAGTATCGTTAGGTTATTCTAAAATATTATGCTATAATTATTTTATATACGTGCATTATCTTTAAATGAAAAATCTTCGTATATATTTGAAATTAATAACTTAAACATATGGAACAATTTATAGAAACATGAAAATAAAAATATATTCACCATGCAAAAAAACATCAACAACGTGTTGAATATTTGAGCTTAATTGAATATTATGCTTAATTCATTTACATCTTCATAATTTATTTGATTATTTTTGCTCATATAAATTATCTATAATATTAATATATAAAAATTTTCAATGAATTACTTAAAATAACAATTTATTTCATGTACAATGGAACCTCTTCATACTTTTAATATTTATATAAAAAAAGCGTACATAGTGTTTATATATTATAACAGTGGCAATCGCAAGCCCGACAACCGAAATCCCGTCTATCGAAATCCCGACGTTTGAAATCCCGGCTGGCTCAAAATCCCGACTATATCGAAATCCCGACAATCAAAACCGGACAGTGTCTTTTATTATTATATATTTCAATAATAACATGTTTTGGGTAGTCGGAATTTCGATATAGTCGGGATTATGGTAGTCGGGATTTTGACATAGTCGGGACTTTAATACAGTCGGGTTTTCGAACATCGGGATTTAGATTCAGTCTGGATTTCGAACGTCGGGATTTCAATAGAAGGTCTTTCGGATGGCGGGTTTGCGATTTAGACCCATATTATAACAATAGTTGGACACAATACATATGTGTTTTGCATTTACAGCAAACACAAATTATATTTGCAAAGTATGGCCCGCTTTAAGCAAAGATGACAAAGAAAATCGAAGATGGTTAATATATTCAAAGACACATAATGTGTGTACACAAGTTTTAAAAATGATGTAGCCGGGACTTCTCATCGTCACACATTATGCGAAACGTCGCTCGTTAAGCGAATCATTTTTCTTACAATTTATTTTGCTCGTTATATGAGGTGCTCGCTTAACAAGTTTAATCCGGTCCAAATGATGTAGCAGTCGCGCAATCCTAGACTTCTCCTCTCATCGTTACCCGTTAAGTGAGTCATTTTTTTTACAATTGATTTTGCTCGTTAAGCGAAGTTCCACTGTACTTGTATTAAAATTAGTAACTTTGCAAGTATTTTGTAATGATATTATTACACATATTGTAGACATAATCAAACTGATATTGTAATCAAAGGTTTAATGTTAATAAAATACATATTGTTTTTAACGGATATTTATTATAAAACAATTATACTTAATATACAATTTTAATTTTATACTAGATTTGAACATCGGGTGGTCTCAACCTATTTGACAGCTGATGAGAGTTAAGCAAAGTTGCGAGTAGCTCTTGAATTGGTAACGAACAGAAAGAAAATTTAATAGCAATGAGACTATTTGCTAGAATAAGAAGTAATAACACCACACACATTACACGCGGCTATAACATGTACAGCATATGTGACCCACTATAGCCTTTAAATAAAATCATTAATACCAAACAATTTCTATCAATGTTAAGAAATAGGGAGTAAATAAAGAAAAATAGACATATTTGCAAGTGTTAATTACAATTTATTTATTTATATATATATAAATTTCTTTGTTTCTTTTTTCTCTTCAATTGAAAAAAATGTAATAAAAATCAACGAACAGAAAACAAAGGTACAAAGGTGTTAAACATTATAGTAACTAGCTTAGTTTCTTATCCTTACATAGAATGAACGTTAAAGAAGAAAGAGAAAATAAATACGAGCGAACGAGAATGCAGGAACTGTTTTTAAAATTATTTTTGTTTTGAAAAAGTAATATGAGGAAAATAAATCGTCAGGGCGATTGGGATCATATTTTGGTATGTACAATTTTTCGTATTTTTTTCGGGACTTTCGGAACGAAAACAATCTGCTAAAATGATCATTGCCATTTATATACACATATAGTTTATTTAACGAACACCTCGTCTCGCTTGTTACCAACCACTAAGAATTATGCATTTACAAATATAGCAGCACTCAGTTTCGTAAATCCACGCAGTGCGCTTTGAACCTAGAAGCTGCGCTTTTTCTGACGTCGCTTCTGGTACAAAATGGACAAAGAAAAGTTTAAAATTTGTTGCTTTTCTTATTTGTTAACGTTTTTGTCTCATAATTTACTATATACATTTACCATACTTGTCTTATACTTATTTATAAGAATGATTTTTGTCCGTAAATCTTCGTATTCTTTCTTCTGCTTTCTTAAAAAAAAAACAAAGAAAAGCTCGGAGTAATATCGTTCAAATAATATATTTATTCACTATTATGACTTCAATAAAATAATGTTCAACAGCCATGTAATGTTATGTACAACAAATTTATACTATAGTTATAGACGTCTTTGTAGGGTTCGTTTACTGTTGCGTCCCTGGTTGATTGATCATCGAGATGATCGCAAAAAAAAAACTCGTACTATCAAAAGGAAACTATGAGGATGAGGGGGTGTGGATGGTTATTTTTTTCAATTGAATATCGAAATATAAATCAAAGGAAGAAGGATGCTCTCGTCTTCACAACACAACATCCGTTGCAAAAAAATCCATCAAGGAAAATACTTCCTCGCCTCAACTCGAGTATTTAAAATATTGTAAATTATTACATCTTACAATTCGTCTTATCCAAAAGGTTTTTTGTCTGTTTTTTTTGTAACATATTGTAATATATTTAGTATTTTTTAAACTTTTTTTTCTCTTTCTTTCTTTAAATATGTACATTACAATTATTTATTAATTTTCTCCAAACGCTATTTACATCTTTGAGGTTTTCTTTGTATTAAATAACTGAGAATATCCTAGAGCCTAGACCATACATCATCAATAATCCAAAACATCCCGAAAAAATAATACAAAAAGAAAACTGCAGAGACGCTCTTCCAAATTCCAAATGAATTCCCCAAGGAGTTAACAATAAATACACAATTAATACGCGCTAAACGCAATTGCAGTGCCATATTATACTAGTACAATTTAAAAATAATAATTCAAAAAAATAAAAACAGTGATTATTGTGGAAAATAAACGATTAATTCATTTTATAAATTAAAAAAAAGGAGAAACTATGCGTAACGAAATTAAGTCTACTTAGAAAATAGTTTTAAAAAAAATGTAATAGTAAAGACGACACAATTTCGACCTGGTATTTTCGGTTCGAAAACTGAAGAGAAATTATCAACCAATTATAATTAGTCACTAAAAAATAAAATAAAAACTAGTTTCCGTATTTTTTTTTGTATCTATATTTACATAGTTTATTTCTAAATAGTGTAGTTTTTGTATTTCTTGTTTTTGTTTTTTTGTTTTTTCTACTGGACATAAAACTAGAAAGCAAAAAAATGAGGGGGAAGGCGCTGTGTTGTAACCTCTATTTACACTTTCGATAAGAATTTTCCTTCGATTCATAAAGTCTTATTTATATAATAAAAAAAAAACGAAGAATTAAATGAGACGCTTTGTTGTTGCCACCAACTAGTATTAACAATGATGTACGATCTACGTTAATTAATTAGATTTTTTTAAATAATCAAGTTATCTTTTATAAACTTATTAGACTAAGCCAACTCTGCACCAAACATACATATATATATATACATATAAATTAATAAGTGTATAACATATATGCATCAAAATTTACAGAAAATAAAATCTTGATCCGCTCTTCGTCCTGATCAATCGTTCTCTCACACAAATTCTCCCTTTAATTAATTACAATAAAGAAAATCACCAAAAACATTTTTTTTTTGTACAAAACAGTCGCAGCGGTTGTCCGCCATCTTCTTCGTTCGGCTTCTGTTTCTTTTAAATGATTTATATTATCTCTATTTGTTTGTTTAATTCTTCCACTTTCATATTTCCAGTAGTTCCCTTTCGTCCTCTTCACTTTTATGCTCTCAAATAATCATATGTACATTAATACACATCTAAACTATGATATCATAAACATAATAATAGTAATAATAGTTTCTTTCGTCTCCACCCTGCTCAATTATCTTTTTCTATATTTGTTTTGTATTCTTCTTCTACCTCCTCCTCCTCATCATCTTCTTCCGATAAGTAAATAAAAATATGTTAATAATAATAAAATAATGAATAAAATATGAAACACTGAAGGAAGAACAGTTTCCATCGATCGTTCTCACCCAAAGTTATTACATTATAAATCTATGGTTAACTAATTGAATGGCAGCACTGTATATGCTACACACAGATAGCGATATACGTAAATATTTATATAAATAAGCATCTGCGTGTAGAGCAGACATCTTCCTCACAAGTGTCTCGTCGGTATGAGGGGGGAAAATATTATGTTTCTTCAATATATTTATATTAAATATTATCAACAGTAGTGATGGTCGAGGGGGAGCGGTGCGCCGTCGAACAACATCACGCAAACATCCATGTAATAACATACGAACGAAAATAAAGTAAAGAAAACTGTGACCCACCCAAATCTCCAAAGACGCCGTGTTCCTCATGCCGATTACAACAAAATAATAAAAATTATTACAGATTGCAAAAAAAAAATATATATATATATAGAGGAAAAAACTAAAACAATAAATAATAATTAAACTAAAAAAAATGCATATATGTATATATATATATAATAAATAATAATTGCATTGGATATTTGCGTTTTGTGCAAGGCCACATCCATTTATCCTCAACACTTCTTTTAACCATCATCATTATACAATGTGCTTGAACCCAACATATAATAAGTTATGTACATCTATGTATGTATATATATATTTATGTGTGTGTATATATATACATGTCTACGGTATAAACAAAGATATTTTACTATGTACAAGTCCCTTAAATATGTATATATATATTTGTTTCATATATATATATATAAATATATTATCATTATTTTTTTAAATTAATTCATCAAAACTTATATATAAAAAAAACTACATATTATCCTATATATATATATATATACGTCTTCTTTAAGGGCGTATGCCCCCTTCTGCTTTACCTCTCATTATCGTCATCGACCACGCACCTTAATTAAACACATTAATTAATATACAAAATTATTAAACTTTTCTCTGATTTGTTCAGTTTGCACATGAACGTCTGGAAGCCTCAACCAAAAAAATGAATGAAGTTTATTTTCTCGTTTTGCTTCGTTCTCTAGTTTGAGCATACGCACACAACACATTATGTTTTGTTTAAATTTGTTTACTTTCTCTCTGTATTCCTGAATTTCAATTATCATACAAGCTTTTCCATTGGATATGGTCCATTATAAGGAACCTTCGAATGCGGCCATAAGATCACTTTGCATGTTCATGTCTATCTGATTCGCCATCTGAAAATAACAACCCAATTTAATCCATCTCCTTCCACATCTCCTCAAATTATGATCAAGTAAATGTCTTCGCCTTTTAGGGCCGCGGTTAAACGTTCAATACATCTATTCGATGCAAACTTAAATAATATATGTTTTTATAAGCGTAGCACTTACCGCCTCTCGCCTCCTCCTCTCCTGTTCGCGTAACCTCTGTCGTTCCCTCTCCGTCCTATCGGAACCAGAGCTTTGACTGCCCGGCGATATGCTATCCTCTCCGGGAGAGGATCTCAACTCATCAACCCTCGAAGCGGGTATAGGTTGCTTCTGTTCAGCCACAGCTTTCCTGCTCACGAAGCTACTATTAATACTCTCTAACACTATTCTTAACACATGCAGACCACATACCTGGCTTTCTCTAATGCATCTTCCTCATCGCGCTCTCGTCTTCGCTCGTTCTCCATCCGCATACGCTCTTTCTCCGCCTGCTCCTTTTGCTGCCGCTTCATCTCCAAGCTCTCCAACCTAGCCTTTTCCCTATCCGCCTTCTCTTTAGCCTGCTTTTGGAAAGCTTTGAAGCTGTCCGACACAAATTGCCGACTGCTACCACCCTGGTTGCTGTTTTGCGGAGAATTAGATTGTCCCAAGCTTGACCATGAGCTCTTCATGTTTGGCTCATGTTTGGATTTATAGTTTTGACCGCCAGGTGCCCCAGGGCCACTGCTAGACATCGAGAATGATTGCTGATGTTTCTGCTCAGGCGGAGTCAACTTTTTATCCATGCTCATGTTTCCTGGAACGTTCAGCGGTTCGATTAGCTCTTCGATTGGTTTGGGCTGGATCACGGGCAACTCTTTCTTCACTACGCCAACATTGTTGACCGGTGGAATGTTATCGAATATCGACGACATTGTTATATTCATTGGTACGCCACCCAAAGACGAAAGGCCGTTGTTCATAGAACCGATGTAATCGTGCTTAATATTGCCGAAGCCGTTATTGTTGGTGTGCAGCATAGCCTGCGAAGTGGGTGTGATCAAAGACGGGATGTCGTGGTCGAGGGACGGATGGACGGCTAAGGAGTGCATCATGGAATTGGCAGGCATCATTGAAGTGGGCGGCATGTTGCCAATTGCGTCCAAACCCATGCTGGATGGAGGCTGCTGTTGTTGTTGCGGCACTCCTGATTGCTGTAACATTGCAGGTTTCTGATTAGGATTGCAGGACATGCCCAAGCTATGCATCAGAGGCATTTGGACCATGCCGGAATTCAGGCTATCTAGCGGCTCGTTCTTGATCATCGCTCTTTCCAGGCTGGCCAAGGATTGCTCCAAGGGATCAGTGAAAGTGTTCGTGCATGGTGATATTATAGAAGGCTTAGGTTTGTCTGGAGATGGTGTTGGCAGAGCAACCGGCTTCGGTGGCTGGGGCACCGTAGGCGGCGTGATCGTATGCGACTGTTCCTGCTCAATAAGAGGCTTAATGTCATTTGTTATGGATGGTTTCCTGTTGTTTGTAGCGTTAGGTTTAGCCGACACGTGATTCGTCGCGGCCACGGGCGATATTTGCGGCGGCACACTGTTTATAACCGAATTATTCACGGCTGGAATCTGCTGAGGTGGAACCGCTTGTTGGGGTTGTTGTTGTGGTGGAGGCGGTACTTGTTGTTGAGTGGAAGGTTGTTCATGTGGTGTTTTCTGTAACGGCTATCATAGGCAAAGTCAGCATTTTTTAAAATATGTTTAGACTACGAAGTAGAATGATTGAAATGCAAATCAACTGCTTACCACTGTATTATTTGCAGCTGCGGCCGGATTAGGAGATTTCTTCGTTTTCTTCTTGGGAGGCCTATTAACTCCACCTACAAATTCTAAAACTTTAGTAAAATAAACTAAGCCACTTACATGACTAGCTATGGACCTTGAGTGCACACTTACTTGATTTACAGCAGTTGTGTAGAGCGTAGTACAAGTAGAAAATAATTAACAACCGCGAGAACGATATTCGAATCAAAGCAATAACAACCAATTTTTCTTTTGTTTATTTTTTATATAATAAATTTTTATATTCAATTCATTCATTAATAATATTGTTTTTTTTTGTTGACATATTTCACTTACTCTTAACATTTGTTATATTTATATATTTATAATATATATAATTTTCTTTTTTACAAATTTCATGAATACGACTTATATTAATATTTATATAATATTTTTGTTGTAGAATTAAAAAGTAATGCGAAAATAAAGTAAAAATAATTAATCGAAATAGAATAATAAATGAAGGGAACAAACAACCTACGAGAGGCAAGATGCTTAATAATGAAGATTTCAGAACTTATTTACATAGCTTTTACATAAATACAAAACTATTGTATACATATATATTCATATTTACTATATGTATCACTTAGTCTGAATAATAACATACGAATAAATGACCAAACTGAACTGAGAGAAAAATAATAATATGGGACATATTAAATATTTATAATGATTTGATAAAAAAAAACTACATATAAACAAATATGTATATAGTATTATGTATAATAAACAAGTTCTTTCGAAATTACAAAGTGTGCAACTAAACGCTCATCAACTGATAAAATGTGAAAAATAAAATAATATTCAATAATCAAAGTATGTACAACCATACTGCATTTGTGTATATATATATAGTATATATATTACTAAAATTACAACTAATAAAGTATATAAAAAACAAGTGATGAATTCATGTTTTAAGTTTAAAAAGTCTAGAAGTTTAAGAAGAGAATAGATTGAAAGAACAAACAAAAAAATCAGTAGAGTGTGAGAACTACAAAAGAAAAATAAACTTATATACATTTTACATCACAACAGAATTTTATGATATGAAATAGATTCACTTATATAATAATAATAATAATTTGTTGCTTTTTGATTATTAAATGTGTTAGGATTAAGTTTAAAAATAATAGTAATATAATAGAGACAAATTAATTAAAAACCAATTTCAAAATAATAATAAGAGTAAAAATAAAACGAGAGTGAGTAAAGTAAAGAACATCTCAGACTTGCCTCTAAATAAGTCATGTTGCCATTGATTTGTAAAAACAATAACTCAATAAAACAAACAAAAAATATACTTAGTAAACCAAAAAAATAATAATTAAAAAAAAAGTTTCCTTAAATATTCTTTCTTTTTTTTACGCTGCTTGAGTACAAACAATGTGGATGGAGGCCAGCGCCACAGCCAAAAACAAGAGAAAATCATATAATAAAAACAAAAAAAAATGAAAGGGGGAATTTGAAAATTGAAAAAAATAAATAAAAAAACAATTACAAAATGAATCGGAATATTACACACCTCAACCATACAGTAATTGAACTGATAACAAATAGTGAATTCAACGATTGTCGGATTACATATCGTAAGCAAACTAATAATAAGTTACGCAATCTACTGAATGATTAAGAAATGAGTTGACGAGACAGCCGCCACACACATTGTCTGCATTTATTGGGGAGATAGAGAGAGAGAAAAAAAAATAACGAAAAATAAATAAATAAAAAAATAAAATAAATCACACCCTGCTGGAAAATCTTGCTTGCCGTAGTTAATTAAAGTAAAATTCGTTGTTATTGCTATGATCGTACTATTCCTTTTTTGTTAAATCTTTAAGTTAAGTAATCGATAAATAATAATAATAAAATAATAATATAAAATAAATTAACATCTATATCTTTTTGTTCCTTGTTTAAAAATAATAATAGGTAAATAAAAAAAATAAACGAACAAAAAGACCTACTGACTGTATGGCCGGTCCATAGCTGCCAGACTCCACACATTTTGTGCACTCAAGGCATTTTCACCACTCTAAACTGGCACGAAACATTGTTTCTACATAAATAACACAGCACCATTGCGTTTCGGTATAAGTTGAAGACTTTAAGCAAACAAAAATCAAACAGCGAGAGAAAAATAACTTTCCGCCGAGTTTAGAGTGGCTTTAAGCATAAAAAACGTTTCATTTCAATAATAATAATACTATTCAGAAATCATAAATACGAAAGAAGAAAATATTTGGATCCCCTGGATTTTGCTAGATGTTTTTTTTTGTTTGGTTTTCTAGAGGATCCAAGATGCCCCCGTTTCATCACCATAATTATCATATATATATAAATACCAAGTAAACAAAAAACACTTTGTTTATAAAATACAAAAAATATATATCAAGGCACCTATATTTAAATAAAGAAAAAACAAAACATAAAACTATTGAAACGAACAATTACAGAAACTTTCCTTGCCCTCCATCGTCTTATCGTTATACCATATTTTTGTATTATGTTATCATTAAATATAGAAACAAAGAACTTACGAAGTACGGCTAAATTATAAATCGAAAATAAAATTAAAACTTTCAGTTTCCTTTCTTTTTTCTTCTTCTTTAAAAGAATCACTAATTACTAACGAGCAAGGAAAGCCTCGACAAGAACACAATTCTGTCATCGTTCAAATTGCCTTTTCTTGATTCTAGGTGAATGAAAATCCGCGAAAATACAAGTGAACGTTTTCCCGAATGAATTTACATAAGAGAAAAATTAACAGATATTTAGAAAATGCACGCGATTTTAATCGAAGGAAATACTCTCACGTGTATTTTCGCGGCTTCAAAAGATTTTACTATATACATGTACCATAAAATTCGTGTTTCTCCTTATAATAGGAAGTACACAGCATATATAATAACCATATTAGATATAAACAAAAAAAACACTATGTACACTTTGTTTACTTAAATTTTACTCTTTTTGTACGCCCACGCGCGGCGTAGAGCCGAATGCATGTATCTCAGATGCATTCGAAAGAATTGTTTCAGTTCCATACGTTCAATGCAAACGGTAAAATTGAAATTTGGAAATGCTAAACAAAACTGTTTTCACGAAGCTCAAATTCGCCAAATTCATTCGTTTCGTTTATTTTCATTATTTTTTTTTAGTCAAACAATCTCTAAAAACTAAACCTTGCACACGCTCTCTAATTACGCTTAATTAATTCATATTAATTTGTTTATCTCTTAATGAACACAAATACATAATATCGTATAAGCCGCGATTTTTACGCAAACAGAAGTTAATTGCTTCAGACTACACACGAGTTGATCCGCAGTTGCGCGAATTACTTATTGCGAGAAGAAACGAATAGAAACGAACAATGGACGATTTTATGTAGTTCTTTTCTTAAATATGTTTCAACGTAATTTCTATAATACAAGTGGACGAGAATGGCACTTTATCAAATAGAAAATAAAAAATGAATTTAAAAAAAAATAAAGTCTACAATATAAACTAGAATAACAAAAGCCACAACCACGCCGTTATTAATATAGTTAACAGAATAAAATAAAAAGTATAACTTTAATTATTAATATTAATTAAAAATAAAATTTAAAAAAAATAAACGAAATGATGTATGTATATAATACAAGTGCGCGTACTTTCTTTGTTCAAAAGAATTTATCTACCGCGAGAACTGAATAGAAACAATTCTCTTTTTCATGAAATGTCTGTTGTTTCATGACTAAGTTATAATTTTATGTTTTTTGTTTTTATATAAATCTGTATTTTCATTTATGTGATGGGGGAAAGTTCCTCTTTTTGTATTTTTGCTTAAATAGTTTCGTTTCTGTTTCAATCTGTTAAAAAGAGCTAACCTGCTTCACTGTCGCTGGAATCACTTGAACTGCTGGACATGCTGGAGGTGCTGCTGTCCGTGTCTGAACTGCTCGAACTCGAGGATAACCTTCCAGATGGTCCACCACTGGCTCCGGTTGCATCAACCTTGCCATCGTCTATGACAAATTAAAAGATAAACATTAATCGTGATGAATATTAAAGAAATTTAATAAAGAAAAAAGAATGATTTAAGACAGTTCATGCTAGACAACTAGAAAACAAAACAAAACAAATATGAAAGAAGCCCCTAATTGTCTATGTTTTTTTCTTGTTGTGACTGCTTGTATGTCATTATTACCTTTCTTGGGCGCCTTTTTGTTAACATTTCCGATTTTATCATTAACATCGCTAAGTCTCTTCTCCAATTCCTGTTTCCTTTCCGCCATTTGTTCATCTTTTGATTTACCCGGCATTTTCTTATCTATAAAACCATATACATAAATTCATAACATCATCGCCGACTAAGAACTAGTGATGTTTTCGAAAATTTCTAATCAAACAAAAATATATCCAGAAAACAGAAATAAGAAGATTCACATTACTCTGTTTCTCCCTTAAGACAACATTTAAGATATGGATGCAGTAAGAGAATATATAAATAAATTAACGCTCTACAACATTTGAAAATATTCCACTTTCATACTCTCTTATTACACACATACCGCCAAGTTTACATCGATTATCTAACACTACTAAATGTTTCTTGAATGAAACTAAAGAAGTCCACCAATTAACGAAAGAAATACAAATTATAAATACACATGTTACAGCATGCTAGAATAAGAATGTTTTGATTTTATCAACGACTCGATTTTAACAGTTGCATATACAGCCGTCAAACTATTATTATTTAAATAGATTGATTAACAGAAATGCAACTGGTAAAGAGTCCTTTAAATTGAGACCCATAACCTTAAAGAAATGAAAATCGAGTAACAAATGTTCTACCATGCTTAGAAAATGTGTGTATAGTTCCAATCACATACGCCACGTAGCACTCAATGAATTTTTTGTTGTTTTGTGTTTTGTTGGCTACTTTTGGGTGGTTTTCGTGTGTGTAAGCGGAACTTACAGTAAGGCTTACGTGGCTTTTTACGTAGACAGGATGCGACGTAACTCTCGAGCTCGCGTAAAGTCGATGGCTTTAGCGTCTCAAAGTCTATCTCGATTTCGTCTGGATTTGAGTCTCGCAGCGATGGCTCCCTCGACTGAATAATATGCACAACCCTGCCCAACTTATCACCTATAAAACAAATAGACAAAAATATCACTCATGCCACAAAATTTTAAAAAAACAAATAGTTTAACGTACCTGGTAATTTATTAATATCAAGGGACAACTGTCTCTTCTCGTCGTAAGACATTGGCCTAGCGTTGTCCTCATCTTCGGAGTCAAAGGCGACCGGTTGAACAGTCGGCGTCTTTTTCCTGCCGCCACCCGGTTTGTTGTTCGCTTTGGGTCTTTTTCCACTAGCGTTTGGTCCCGCGGGCTTTGGTCCCCTCACTCCTAAAAAACACAAAAGATATATTAAATATAATAAATAGGTATGCACAAGTATCAGACATGCTTGCAACCATAAAATAGTAAAGCTACACTATATTGTTAATGAAATTTCTGATACTGTAAGGTGCAACAAAAGCTCACTACAAAAATAAAATGCATAGTATATAAATATTAATGAGCAGACTAATATCAGCATACGCTTCTAACAATGCAAAGAAGATAAAGTATCAAAAAAATAAATTGTTAGTTAACTAAAATTGATGTATATTTTAAAAAAGTCAATTTTACCGATTCAATAATTTTTTAAGAAATTTAGATATTTCATAAAAAAACAAAATGTCTTGTATTTTGATATTGGTGCTTTAAAAACTGGATATTGAGAATTACATGCGTTTGAATAATATGAAATAAAGCAAAACCGACACCAGTAGCAACGCGCGTGCAACATAAAAAGTAGTAACAACGTGCTCTACGTGGTGTGATCTCACCTTTACTCTTAGGTGGTTTTGTAGCAGCGTTGGCGGCAGCCGCCATCGTGTGGTGCATGTTCAGGGACTTTCCGGTGGCGGGATGATGCACGTCTCCCGTTCCCATCTTGAGATCTGCCCCAGACACCACGCTGGCTATGCTGTCGTCAACGCTGTCGGTGATAATGGAGTTCGACTTGGCTATGGCTCCCGGCTTACCCAAACTACTGCAATTTGCTACCATCTTCTTGCTCTTATCCTTCTTCTTTTTCTCTTTCTTCTTCTTATCGCTCTCCTCCATCAATTTACTAATGCGCTCCTGCATGGCAAACAACTACTCAAAAAAACACAAAACAATTAATACAAGAAGTCATTTTGAATATAATAATAACATTACCTCTTTTTTCATCAACTTAATTTGCTTGTCGCGCTCTTCCTCCGAATCTTCGGTATCACTAGAAGACTCTGAACACGACCCGGATGAACTAGAGTCGGACTTAGCGTTCGCGTTTATCCTGTTCATGGGCTCGTCCGGAATCTTTGCGAACTTCATTTCGAACACATCCTGGAGCTTACGAGCCATAGCTACGACGTCGTGATCCGACGGATTATACTTGTAGCAATTCGTGAATATCAGTCTGACGTCAAGCGCAAATTCTTGTGCTGTACGATACTCCCGAGAGTCCATCTTCTGCTTGACGGTACCCAGGTCCATGGGTTTCTTTATGATTTCGTGATAGTCGTGCAGAGCCAGAAGTTCCGCATCGACGGGCTTGTAGAAAGGCCATGCATAGCTAGAGTGCTTCTTGGAAAAGAGCTCCTTCAATATTTCGTTGCAAGACTTGAGGGCCTCGCTGAGTTTATCCTTAGCTTTATGCGATGGGTGCTGCAGAGTATTTGGGATGTTGGCCATCAGGGGCGAAATATTTGGTTGATTGTATGGGACAAGACCGTCCATCTCGGGTCTGATGGGCTTCTTGATCTGTCTGCCGGACTCGCGACGCGCCGAGACTTTCGCAGACTTGGATTCCATTGATGTGTTGTAATCGAAAACGGAGGCGCCAGGCGTTGTCGTATCAGCCTTTCTTTTAACACCTTTTTTCACTTTAGCAGGTTGAGAAGGGGGCATAACCGTGCCGGGCAGCACCTGCGGCGGCAAATTCGGTTGTTCTATTTGACCGGCGAGTGGCTGGGCCATGTGGTAAGCACTCGGTGGAATCTGTTGCGGGAGAGAGCTATGGGTGGCGGCGGCAGTCGCAGCTGCAGCAGCGGCGGCGGCGACTGCAGCTGCAGCCGCGATAGGCACGGCCGTAGGCGGCGGGGCAATGGTCGTCGTTGCTGTACTGCCGGGAACTGTCGCTGGAGGCGTCGTACCCAGCGGGAGACCGGCATTGTTCACGGGAGTCGTCACTGTGGAAGACACGGTCGCAGGTGGTCGTCCCCTGCCGGTTCCTGGTGTACCAGCACCACCGCTCACCCGACCTTTCTTCCCTTTGACGCCGCCACCCTTCGTAGGCAGATCGACCGTGTATTCGTCCTTGGGCATATCAGCTACTTTCGTCAAAAACACTTTCTCCAACGTCTGTGCCATCACCACAACGTCTTCACCGGGTTTATTATACACATAACAGTTTGTGAACATTGTATTAAAGTCTTGTATGCACTCTTTTCCGGACCAGTAGAAGTTATTGTCCAGCCGCTTTTTGATTGTCCCCAAATCCATGGGTTGTTTAATTATCTTGTGGTAATCCTGCTCAAATTCATAAATAAACATACATTATTAACCCTACAATTAACGTGAATAGAATATGATTGCACGTACGGGTAAGTTCAACTTCTTGGCATCTACGGGCTGATGGAAAGGCCAAGCAAATTGATGTTTCCATACCGCTTTGAACACAGTCTTCTGCAGAAACTGCAGCTGATTCGTAACACGGCCGGGCCGGCTCAGTGGCGGCGTTATCTTCGGCTGTACGATACCATTGACTGGTTCTACTGGTTCGTCCACGCGCGGTGACGGTTCCTTCTCCTTCATCGAATCACCCATTTTTCCACCGTTCTAAACCAAAACAACAACATACAATTAACAACACTACTAATCTAGTGAATTGACCTAATCTCCATGACTCATCTACGATATTTGAATAGACGATAACAGAGATTATAATTATATGTCAAGTCTGTCGAGAGTTGTATATAGCCATAATTTAGTTTAAACAGTACAATATACAATTTCCTGAACTCAATATTACTTACCGTATTATTTTGAATTGGTGGTTCGACTTGTTGCATGTTGACGCCAAAGGTAGCCTCTGTAATAACATCGGTTCCTTATTAGTATATATATAAATGGAAGTCTGAAAGTCTTGGGGTAAAATGAAAATAAAAATGGCGCGCAAATGCTTCTACCTAACTGATAATCTTTAGACGATTAGGTGTCTGTTTTCCCTTTTCGCTTTGTAATGATTGCAGTTACAGGGACACAGAAGTACAAAATAAGCTAACATGATGCAAACGATTGAATAGATAATAATTTATGTGTATAGAAAAGAAAAAACGTTTACCCCAGAGTTTATCTAAATCAGGGTCTTGGCAATTCATCTTCAATTTGCACTTTTAACTACACTAGAAATAAATAATTACTAAATAAATATATATATAAACTTAAAACAGAACACCATAGTAAATTATAAACAATATTAACGAATCACAAGCGTAAAATTAACATATTGCACTAGAACAACAGTCCCGGTAAGTGAGCAAAATTAACACTAAAACCAAACAATGGTGGGACGCCCCGAAGAAAAGATGCTCAAAAAAAATAGAAAGAGAAATACTGTTTACGGGCATGCGCGGCTTGTAACGCTACCCCTAAAACTGGTCAAACGCGTCTATGGTCAATTTTTCCCAATTTCACTAAGTACAATACAAGAGGAATAGTATAAACATGTTTTATTTTAAAGCATTTACGTGTCGTATGGCTCACCTTTATGCTATAAGCTGGAAACGGCAGATCTGTGCCTGACAGTCAGCTGGCATGCAAACGAGATAACAATCTTTCTGCATATCCCTTATGGGACATTATAGTGTCCTATATTAAAACATCGCAATGGCGCATGGTCTGCAACAAAATAAAAACAAAAATAATAATCTACTAACAATATAATTTAAATGGAAATAAATCACATATAAACGAGAGAAACCCGAATTTTAAAAGGCTTTTAACGACCCTCAAAAAAAAACAATAATTGAGGATTAGAGAAAACGATGGCCAATCGTAATTACAGTTTTGCAGCCTCGGAAGTGCCCTCCTTCCGAAACCATCAAGGCTCGACGACGTTTGAAACGACGAAATGTACAAATCTGATGTACAAATTGCCGATACATTGCTATTGAAAATATACGTTAAAAAAAAGATCCCGAGTTCGTCGTGTACGCGGGCATTGTGTAAGGCCAAGGATTTCATTGCTTTCACATTCGTCGTTCATTACCGAAACTCAATGAATTGATGACACTGTTTGTTATGATGTTACTATATACTAGAAGCAACGCTGCATTAAATAGAGCCAATTTTCACCGTAAATACATAATAAATATCTTATATAGGGAATATGAAATATAATAATTGTAAACTATGGCAACCAGCACTACTATTGCATATATCAAAAAATAGTTTCAGCATTTAAAATATACAACTTTCACTTCACTATAGACGTAGTTAATTTATGCACCCCCAATGAAACATCCACATCCCCTAATGTAACAAACAAAATACGCCCGACTTTTTCGAAATTTAAATTCACACTAATGATGCAAATAACAGTAGGTATTAGAAAGTTACAATATAATTTTAAAATTAAAGTTATAATTAAAGACTCGTTATTTTTGGAAATAAGTCTTCAGACTTATTGAAATGATGTACCATGTAACTTGTAATAATTTTTTACAGATAAATGTATAAGGATATTCCAAACTGAATAAAAAATAGATTGTTATAAATTATCATGAATTCTAGGATTGGTAAATATCAATTTTTAAATAAATCTAAACACTGTTTTATGAGTTCTAATAATTTGTTCCATTTTTATCACATAAAGCTTATATTTTTATCTACCTTAATTTTTCTTTAAAAGTAAGCTAATTGATGTATTACAAAATTTAAAAAAATTCTTTTTTTAATAATTCTACATTTATATAATATCTAATTCATATTTTGTTTTGTAACAAATTTATGATATAATTATAATAATAAGTTTTATTGCATTAGTCGTTCAAAAAAAACATATACAGTAATAAAAGGAACAAAATATATATAATTGCTATTGCAAAGAGCTATTGACCATAGGTCTTTCTGCCCGATATAATTATATTAGTTAGTATTTCTGATAAAACTAGTAAGAAAACAAAGTAGAGGTTAGTGGAATATTGAGAACATGAAAACATTCAAAAATAAGTAGAAATATTTATTGTAAAACATAAAATGATTACAAAATGAATAAACCATAAGTGAAAAGTAAAGAATTGTTCATGTCAATTTAATACTGTGATTTTTCAAATTGAATTTTTATTGAAAAGTTAGCTGTTCAATGATGATTTACAAATAACACAAATCTAAGAAGATTTAAATAAATATCTATTTAATCCTTGAAATATTTGTGAGATAATACATAAATAGGATAAAAAAATTATCGTAGATGCAAATATTACAATTTTAATTGTTTCATACATCAAATTCAAGTAAACACGCATGTGTCTTATATTGCATAAAGATATCTTGATTAACTTTTTAATGATTGTCATATGGAGTGCTCGTGCTTGAATTTCAATTTATGAATGTTATTTATGATTTAATGCTCCTTATATTGAATAAGTAAATTGTAGGAGAAATGGTAAATAAAAGATACTGTTTGATTTATTTCTGATTCTAGTATGCAGACTGAACATATATATACATTTTTAGTGAGAATCTCTTTCACTGTGTGACTCCCCGGAAGTTGATTGTTTCGAGGACTTGGTTTACATATGTAGTTAGATGGTAGATTGGAGTCAAGCTCGGGCACTTGGAATATTATAGTTGTTGGGAGCTGATTCAAGTGCGCTTTGTATGTATGTGTGTATAAATAAAATATTATTATTATTGCATTGGCGTTGGATGCAAAGTGAGGGAGAGAGAGAGATGCATAGATCGAGAGACCTTGGAAATATGCTGTTGTCTGGGATGTACGTGTAGTTAGACAACGGACGCTACTAAACATGTTCGCTGGTAATGCATTTGACGGACGAACGCGGGAAAACTATCGAATAACCTAAATCAGAGAGAAAATAGTTGATGAATAGATCGGGCGCGGTGGATTTTCGCGGGCAACGACGGTTGCGACTAGGCGAAACCGAGGTTCTCTAGCCGTACAACAAACATGGCGGGATTACGGTCTAGGCTTTGGGGCAAAAGCCGAGTTCGTATCCGTGTAAATTTAAGGGTTTCGGCGGTCGCCCGCTTCTCCTACAAACGCCGATCGCATGCGGCATACGCTAATTATTATTGTGGACATTTACCTGCACATCCCCAATGAATATTCCACGCAAAAATCCCGAAAAATCCAGAGCGACACCGCACACACAGCAACACTCACTACAATCCCGCTTGCCAAGCTTGACGCATACTGCCATGATGGCGGCCGCGTCTACACCCACTTGGCGTCATCTCGACTAAAAATCCTCGTTTTCCGCGGGGACGCGACGGCAACGCGTCGAAATACAGATTGAAACAGTCCTCCGTCGCTCGACGGCTTCCTTCTGCAAACCGTTTTCCCTCCGGCCCGTCGCCGAACACCAGATTCCAGGAGATTCCACGGGAATATGGATTTTACACTGAGGTCATGCAAATGGCTACCACCTAACCATACGACCATACGGCGCAGCGACGTCCCTCCCGGTTGTATAACAGATTTGCCTGTTCCGTCGTCCCAGTCCTCCACCGTGCATCTCCTGTCCAGCAGCCCCTCGGAAAATTCCCGCTTTCGTCCACTGGAAAAGAATTCCGCGAATCGCACCCTGTCCGTACGCTTCCGGTCAACGCCAACCAACCCAACGCGACCTCTCCTATCTCTCTCTCTTTCAAGAATATAATAATGGAGGACCGGAACGTTACCAAGGAACAATTAACGAGTTTTGTTTCTTTTTCTCTCTTTGGTTTTTTTTTCTTTCTTTCTTTTTTTTTCGTTCGTTTTTCCACTGCTTTTTTTTACGTGGTCATCGTAGTCCTCGGTGTAAATCCAAGCGTCGTCCTGATCCTCAGGCGGAACGAGGAACAGAGTATTCGCATTCCCGCCGCAATCTTTAATTAACTCTGCTCATTGCATCCGATCGACGATTATTATTTCGCAAACGGGAGGAAACGAAAAAAAAAGAAGAGGCAACGGCGGCACCGATCGCTTAAAGTGGGGCGCGCACTGACAACAAGGCCATGCCATGCGCCGTCCCGCGGAAAATGTTTTGCCGCTCGCGGATCGGAAAACCTCGTGGAAAAGCCCGCTGTTGTTCGACACCAGAAAAAAAAAATAGACACGCACCGATCGTTTGCTTTCACGCGTTTTCGTTATGCTGAAAACCTGACGGCATTCCCTGCCGGAAAAACTCGACGCTTCGCTAACGTTCCTCCGCCTCCTACGGCGACCTCTGTCGACGGACTTTGATGTTGCTTGGCGCCAAACCCACATTCATTCGGATAAACCTTTTTCTCCACCTATTCTCATATGTAAAAATAGATATAACTTATGTAGTATTAACTCTACTTATAACTTACTATAGCGTGCAACGACAAGATGTTTGTTTGTTGATCGACGCTTCCCTTTTTGGATATGTTTAGTTGGTTGTCTGATTACGATAATTGGAAAATAAAATGAATCAGTTTTGGCTTATACGATCTGTGCAAAAAATGTATTTTAGTAGTATATTATTTGATTTGCTGTTATAAAATTATATTAGTAAGAATAATAGAATTTATATCTTATCGAAAAACAAAATAATATCAAACAAATTGGATCGAATAAAACAAGAATAATTATTATAGTATCCATGCCGGGAATTTCAAAGTTATTACTGTTTAACGGTACTTAAAAAATAAATGTTTCGTGAATATTAAATGATCGCATGTTTTACAACATTTCTTCTTCTTCTTCTTCTTTCAATAATGAGCTTCCTTCTGGAAACCCCTTCCCATTTGGCAGGGTCCTGTCGACCCGTTTGCCAGTCGCTTATCGGTGGGATCCTTTACTGTCTACAAAAATTAACCAATAATTAGCGTGGTATCAGGTCGAAACCTCTGCAAAACCAGTAGATCGAGGGAATTTACAACATTTAGCACGATTGGTAAACAATCGATCACTGACACCCACCTCCATCTATGTTTATATAATGCATTTGATATCTTTCTTCTAAAACCTGTCCTTAAAACAATGTCCTGTTCGTACGCCTGCTCACGTAGTAACAAACAAATTTAAAAAATATAAGATTTATTTATAAGAATAAAATGTATGTCTTATATATCTATTACAGAATGGAAAATGTTTTAAATTTTGCTCTGTTGGTAATGTTCTACGATCATTACGGAATCCGCCGACATTGACCGACATTGTTGAGCATCCATGAATAAAATTATTTACAGCAGCGACACCTGCTGTAGGAAAACAATGGTACATAGACCGTTAGAAATTTTGGGAATTTGTATGAATCTGAGAATCATGGATTCCAGCAATAGGACGCCCCCATTATACAAATAGGCACGAAAGAGGACGAAATTAAAACGGCTGTCCGGTTGTATATCTGTATCATAGGATGCCCCTATTATATATTAGTTATTATCTGTTCCTCTTGAACGTTTAATATATGATTGTACAATTCATACCAATATTCTCAATAATTTCTTCTAAATATCATATAATAAGTTTTATACTTTAGTTTACGAAATTCTGTAATTATTTGCTGAGCGAGTAACAAGGGAATAAGAGAACTGACTCAATGATGGCATCAATGTTCAAAATATATGCAGTTTGGACGATCAATATATACGGTAGCCAATAGTTCGTATCTTAGTAACGCGTAATCCTAGATACCTAAATCAATAATCTTTTCTAACAAACATGCAGAAAGTTGTCAATAGGAAATAATTATACATTTATACGTATAACTTTATTGTTATATATTTATTTACAGTCTATTCCATTTCTGTAAAATAACCTTTTCCTATATTATAAGATTATTATTTGAATTTATTAACAATTTACGAATTTCTAAACAATAAATTTCGAAAAATTATGCGGAATTGTGAAGAATTAATTCTTCGCCTTTAGAGTAATAGATTTTTAATAATAAAAATATTTATACCAATTAATATTGATATAAATCTCTTGGCCCTTTTTCTACCCCCTTTCAAGTTTATCTGCCCACGCAAATTTTTGTTGGTTTTCAGGTTCAAATCAACTTCATATCGGGAATAACAGATTTTTGATTTTTTTAATTCACTAATTTATCGATTATAGGCAACTTTCAGGTACCTACAGTTTTCTTTGGTTTGTGTGCTTGGTAGCATTGTAACTTATAATGCTTGTTTGGTAGTTCGGATGTTATCGTCAGCAATCGTTTGTTTTCGGTACAGAACAAGTTTATCCGTTGTTGCGCCGGTTTTGGGCCCATCAAAATTGTTACTTATTTGTCGTATATTGTTAAACATCAGAAACATTAATCGTTATTGTGCCAGTCATTGTATAAACAATGCAAATTGTATAAATCATATAGAACGAAGAGTATACAAGAAGATAGTTTTTCCAAATGAAAGAGGCTTCGCCCCCTGTGTCAGCAATGGCCACACCAACCAACAGCAGCGGGAATTTAGTCGACGAATTCGAGGAGGCCTTTCAGGTATGGCACACTATTGTTTGATAAATTAATATATTATTGTACTCAATAATTTCTGTCCACTTTGTAAAGCATTGCCTTAATGTGCTGACAAAAGAGGAGGCTGTACCAACAACAGATAAAGATGAGATTCGTGTGGAGGTTGAGCAGACCACTCTCAGATTCATCGATCTGGCCAGACAGATGGAAGCCTTCTTTCTGCAAAAGAGGTTTTTACTCTCTGCACTTAAACCTGAGATGGTTGTTAAGGAAGATATAAATGAGCTGAAATTGGAGCTATCCAGGAAGGATGAACTGCTGAAGAGGCACTATGATAAGATTGCAGTGTGGCAGGGTCTGCTTGCTGATCTGCAGGGCTACTCGAAGAGCCCAGCACAGGGCGGATCTACACCAGGCGCGGTCAGCGGAGGTAATAATGGAAATTCGGTTCCGCAAAGTCCGATTTGCCAGATACCTGGTAATCAAACACCGAATAGCATGATGCCAACCATGGCCAGTACCATGCAACAACAGATTCAGCAGCAACAGCAATTGCAGCAATTACAGCAACAGCAGCAACTACAGTTACAGCAGCAACAACAGATACAGCAAATGCAACAGCAGATGCAGGTAGATCGACGTTAAAATTATATACATATATTAAGATAGTATATATATATATAACATTAAGTACGTTAAGGACAGGAAGAAAGAAAAATAGGAAACAAAATATAAATCTTATTTTCTTCAATAGCAACAAGTGATTCAATCCAATTACTTTACTGCTTTTTTCTTTCCTTGTAAGACTTTCTCAGGTTTTCATTTAGTTTCATTGATAGTATAGTACAAACTTGTGATAAATACCAAAGCTTTGAGAGTAGATTTCAAGCATGAGTTTTTCTATTCTTAAATTCTGTAGAAACGTTCTTTTTCTGGTATGTATATTAAGTATATATATATACATGATCTATTTTGGAAGAAGATGAAGAAAGGTGAAGAAGAAAAAACATAATTTTGCTCAATTGTGCCTTTGATGAAACAAAAGATAAACTATGTGTATACTAAAGCTGCTACTAATAATATATTTAATTATACAAAATACATTTTATTTATATATATACATATAAAAAATGAAATATGATATTGGATAGAGTTCATTGTTACCCATTGTTATTGACAATGAAAGTCTTATGACTACAAACAAAAGAAAAATTAAAACAAAATAGGTATTGTAAAATAAGGATAAATCTCTATATATATATTTGATTGTTATTTTTTTGGAGGTAATAAATATTTTTGAAAAATGTTTCTCGTCGTTTTGAGTTTTATTTCAATCGCAATCGGTCATTCTGAACTCGACACAATGTCATTGTTTTGAACGCTTTGCCGCCCGGCAAGAGGAGCGAGAGCGCTAAAGGCCAACTCATTTTTAGGTTCCTGCTGGGATGAGCAGCGGCGCCGTGGGTCCGGGGATGGTGTCTCCGCAGCAAGCGCTGTTCATGCAGCAGCAAGGCATGGGTGGTCCTAGAGCACCATTCGGTCAGCAGGGTCCGGGCGGACTGTTGCAGGGACCTCTCGCCTATTTGGAGAAGACCACCAGCAATATAGGTGAGACCTGATCTGTTGTACGCTAATAGTTTGGATGATTAAATTAAAACGCGTTCTTTCTTTTTCTTTTTCAGATTTGGTAGCAGGAATGACAGATGGACGAAGGTGACGAGGACGTGGGAGGGGGCGTGGCCGAGGAAGAGGCCGAGGTAGAGGGCGTGGCCGCGGTGCCCTACCGGAATATGCGTCCCCATAGTCCCCCCTCCCGTCCGTTCATGGGGACCATATGACTGCGGTTAGTTTGTAAATAGCTTTATTTTATTTTTTTAGGCACATATCTACTCACCCTTATTAATATGCATTAATTTTTATATATTTTTTTTTATTTGTGAGACGTCTACCGTTAAGGTTTATGTATTGTTATGGGATTATGATTTGTTTATATATTTGTTTTATTGACAGTATTAAGGTTTGCGTGCGTATGGGCATGTAAGTGCATTTGTGTAATATATTAGATGTGAGTGTGATTGAGCAAAGAGCTGAGAGGTGTACATAAGATATCTCACATCAATTGGAATTGATAAAGAAATACGAATAAGCAATTATTAAAAAAGCCTATCTCGATGTTGTGAAGTGTTCGTTGTGTTTCCATACTTAAGTGGGAGTATCTCCCAATTGTTTTTGTTGGTTTCAGATGTAATCGATGTGTAACGTTACCGAATTTCAAAATTGTGATAAAGGTTAAGAGAAAAAAATAAAATAGAAAGTTAAACATTTAACGTTAAGAAAATTAAAAGTTAATAATAACACCACGTATTCATAATATATAATATATTAAAATCCGTAGAAAAAGTTAAATTGTATTTTTTTCTATACCTGCCACTATAATTTACCAAATATGTGATTGTTTATTAACTATTAATTATGTTATATACATATCTATGGAAAATAAGAACATATGCATCGTATTGGCCTAGCCTACTTCAACTAACTACCAGACTGTACTGCAGACTTACGGACATCCAAATCCAATTACCGATCTCTCTCCACTCATTATTGGCAGACAACAACCACGGAATAATGTGCGCCCTTATCGCTACTCTCTCCAAAAGTAAGATACCTATATAAAGTAAAGCTACCACCGAGAAAGTTCTATGTGCAAACTAATTAACCTGCCCAAGTTTCCTTCGACTAATCTTATCATCGAATTGTCTCTCCTATGTTTTTAGAACCCGTGAATCTGTATTAAAACCGAAGCTGGCCTAATTGTGTCAGTGTGACACAGGCTGAGTGTAGTGGGAGAAGCAGTGGATGCCTTCCATTTGAAGAAGAATAAGATATGTTGAAAATAAATATTAATAGTATTTGCTATATTCAAGTACTTAAAAAAACCTAGTTTATATATTTTCAAATAGCTGTGACACGCAGATACCGGATGTGGGGACACTAATAGAGGCACAGACAAACATACTAATACACAAAATAGTAAAAAAAAATAAGACCCGGATAGGCCTGTCTTTCGGCTGCGACACACACGATAATAATACGAGAGCTAGAAGAAATATAAGAATGGAACGAAATACAACTAACATAATGAACAGGAGTTTGCTGGTACAGGGCGTTGCACAGTGCAACATGGTTCCAGAGGAAATAAGAATAGAAAACGACATAAAGAAGTTCTAAATAAAAATTATGTGTTGGATGCGGAGTCGCGGATCGAAGGCATAGAACATGGAAGCCCGCTCAAAATACCGGTTCCAAGGAGCGTACCGAAAGAACCGAAGTTGAGGGGTATACACATAAGGAAAAGAATAATAAAATTGTATAATAAATAGTGTAAAAATTGTATATAAATAATAAAAAAAGGTTAGAACATACGCAAAACTTATAAAGCAGCCAGCTACTATAACTTGTTTCAGAAATACTTGTACAAGTTACTTGGAAAGTATCTATTTGTTTGAAAAAGACTTTAACCCTTTGATATACAAATAAATTATAAGTTACGTTACGTTGATTTTGTACAATTCCTTATTAGCCACAATTTGGGCTAAGAGATTATTGACTGATGTCTTTCTAACTAAGTTAATTTCAAAATATTGTAATACTATTACTTGATATTTAATACTTAAGCCATTTTCATAATAAATATTATTCAATAGTGACAGAACATTGTCAGTATGTCAAAACAATCACACATATTTTTGTTGATCGTCAAAATGAGTGCAAATGCAAGAAGTTAAAATTGAAATAATGCTACATTTAGTTTATACAGTAGAAAGTGCTGATCTCAAATGCACCCAATTATCAGATTTTGAAATTAGTGTTAAATAAATTAAGAAAAATACTAAACATTGAAATATATGTAATATATTGTAGAAAATTTATTATTAAAAATCATATATTTAAAAAAATACTAAAAATTTCTTATAGTTAAATTATCTTATAAAACTGTGATGCCCAACAATGATAATGTGCACATTTATTTATCAGTTAATAGGTGCATTTACAAAACTAATAATACGTCAACAAACATATTTAAAGCATTTCCCTATACTATAATATCTTAAGTATTTATTAAATAGCGATCAATTTTACTAGACTTTGCAAATTCTCCTTCAAAGTATCATCGCTGTTGTTGTTAATCATCAGATCCCAGCTGTCATAGTCATCCAAACCACATTCCCCTATTGTATCGTCAATTCCTATATAATGTAACGATCAACATCTAGATTAAAATTATATACATTGATTTAGTACCTTCGACGAAATTCCAGCCCCTATCTTTCCTAGTTTCCAAATCCGTTTCGATGCGGACCGACCTAATCTTTTCGCCGTAAGTTTTCTTAAACCATTCCATGTCCGTCTTCCTTCGAACATCGCTAACGATCCACAGTTCCTTTGCTTCAGCTAAACAGTATCATTTTGTAATAAAAAAAGATTTTCACCGCATTCAACTGAAACGAACCTTTCGTACATGCGGCCTCGCAAAAGCATCCCGGATCCTTGAATCTCTGTTCCTCGCTCCATTCAGTCATACTCTTCCTGTACTTCTCCTTCAAAGGTCCATCGCTCATCAGCGCCTCTAAACTCAGATTGTGGGTAGTAGCGTAGTAACTTTTGATCGGTTCAGAAATCCTCAAAATGCAGCATTTCCCATCTAATCTGAAACGCAAATTAATTTACAAATTGTTTTGCATTTTAAATGTTTGTTATTTGACTTACAATGTGCATAGTTTTTCGGCAATATAATCTTTGCCCGATTTTCGTTTGCCGCTGATTAACAGAACACGATTAGGGCAACTCATTTTGGTATCCTATGAAATTGTGGATTTCATAAAACACCTTTGAATGCTAAGTACAGAAAACTAGGAGATGCAAAGTGGCTGAAAAGCAACGCACGCCGCATAAATTGTATGTAAAAATGCACACTCAAAGAAGCAAAGGATGACCCCTGATCCCTGTTATGAATAATTTACGGATTCATTGTGCAGAAAACTAGTTTCTAAGAGAAGTCTACAAATAATTTCATATTTTAGGTTAGATTCCTTTACTACAGTGAATCATCGAGATTTTTATGTATATCGTGGCCAAAGGTTAATAACCGGCCGTTTACGTTTTCCATGTCTATTTACTACAGGTATCATCTGCAACAGGTTATTCGATGCAAAGTTTATTTAACTAATCAATCATCAATCAGATATGAATCCTTGCTAGCTAACTTCTGTATCAATTAAATTAAATCAATTTTGTAAATCCTGAATGCTACAGTCTCCTTAGATGTGGAGGTTTATGAAAGAAGGCTTCTTAGTGTTTAAGTTTGAAATTCAAGCTACAGATATTCCAGTTCTTTTGTTAACTTAATTACGCTTATTTCTTAATTACAATTAATATTTTCGGTTCTATTTCTACCCATTTCGGGGCTCCCACAAAAAAATCCGATACCTTTCGTATTGGATTTTCGTGATACAGGCGACTAAATACCAAATTTAAATGAGATTCCTCAGAATCGTGAAACGAGGATATTATGTCACCCAACATACATTTATAAACGATCTGTGACCAAGCGATCGTAATCGATATTGTTAAGAAAATTATTATGCAATACGAGTATCTAATTGGATGTGATGTATGTTGCCTAGCATGAAAGTACAGAGGATGGTGTTTTTGGGGGATTTTGTCCTCCTGAGGTTTGTGTTGGTTTGGTGGGACTGGCGTTATATTTTTTTCCTATATGGCGAAATTTGTTGTAGCCAGTGAATCCGAGTGTAGTACGGCTTGCAAAAAAAGTCGTTCACGTTTGAGTATTATCTCCGGTGTGCTTTTACGGAGTCGTCGATGAAGGTAAATATGGGTAGATTTCAGTGGTGCGGGGGCAAATTGGGGCGCGAGCGTAGAGTCCAGATCGTGGTGCTGCAACGGCGGTGGTGGCGGCAGCGGCAACGGTAACGACAGCAGCGGCAGCGGTGCTAAAAACCCAAGCAAGTGTTCGAACTGGTGTTTTGCCCCATTGTTGATCGCTCCTCAATGGCTAGATACTACATGCGTCACGGCATCGGTAAACAACTGCAATTATTTACGAGCGACAACAATTCTGCGTGGCGACAGTAACGAAAACAATCGCGCAACACGCACTTGGATCATATCTATCGTTATTGTTCTATCACACATACACTCAGTTTTTGCTTTTATTATTCTATCCGTGTTGTGTTCGCTCTTTCTCTCTCCCTCTCTCTCCCCGTACTTCGGCCTCTCTCGCATTCACAGTGGACTCCATCCTCCGATATGACCTCTGCCGCGGGATTCTTTTGTCTTCCAGATTATGTTTCCATCCCGACGATAGAAAACTCTTCCTCCAATTCTGTCACTTCACTCTTTTTACCTGAAAAATTCCTAAAGACGTGACTCGTGTACATAACTTAAAAAATATATGTGTGAGTGTATATATCCATATAGAAAAAAAAAGTTGAAGGTGTATAATATACACACACACACACACACAAATGCATCCTTCTACAAACGCGCACACATACAAACGTTATCAAGGTTGAGTGTTATTTATTCTTAGGGTCATAAGTTTATTGAACTTGTTGTATCATTATGAGGGGAATCCTCTGATCCAATGTTTTCTCTGTTTTAGGTTATAATATGCCTCGAAACCAAAAAGATAAATACGATAACAATGGCTCAAGTAGACGTATGCATTCATATATGTCACCAGAAGACCTGGCGGCCGGGAAAAAGTCTCTGTGGACAGAGATGGAGATAACAGGGACAATTCGCAATCTAAGCCCGAACCTCTTCAAGTTGACCAATCTCACTGCACTCTACCTCAAGAATAACCTTTTACTTCGTTTACCATCTGACATTAGCACACTCACCAATCTGAGGAGTCTAGATATAACAAATAACAAATTGCGGACGCTACCTGCTGAAATTGGAGATCTTATTAACCTCAGGTATTGTTATTGTCTATTACTATTTCAGTTGCATGCATTTCAAAATCACATCCTGTCCCAGATTACCTCACACCTTTCCAGATGATTTCCTGTTTTCCTGATCACCTTGTAAGTCCAATCAATGGCTCAGTGTATCACAAAATCTACAGTGTTTTTCTTTCCATTGTGTTTTAAGGGAGTTGTTGTTGAGCCACAATAATCTTCGGATGCTGCCCTATGAGATGGGGAAACTGTTCAATTTGATGGTGCTGGGCTTGCAAGGAAATCCTCTAAATAAGGACATTATGTCGATATACACTGAACCCAATGGAACATCAAAGTTGCTTACCTTTATGTTGGACAATCTGCAAGGTAGGATTTCTATTTTGTATTTAATTCTTACAAAAAGCAAAGGGTATTTATTTTCATTAGTGATAAAACTGCATATACATATTGTAATTGCTTTAACTTGGTTATAACAAATTACTGTTATCATCAACAGTACATGCATTAAATTAAGCAAATTTCTTTAAAATTATATTATTTACCAATTCCAATATTTATATTTCTTGGACTAGTGTTTTGCTACGCTCCCGTTTTTTGTTTGTTACAGTCTAATCTTTGGTAGATTTTGTTATAAAATATTTAAATTTTTTCTTAGCAATATCAAAGAAAGAAATAAACTACTTTCTTAAAAAATATAGAATATTTTTAGTTGCTTAAACATATTTTTATAGATTTTTTTCATAAAACTGTAACAATAAAACATGATTATTCTATTATTGTCATCTATTAATCCAATAAGAGATTTTATATATTGGATTGGATGCATTTAGAGGCATTACATTTGGATTTAAAAGGTTTGTTATTTTTCAAAATTTTGTTAAATCTAAAATAAATTCTTAAATGAACTTTTTGAAAGTTCTAGTTAAATCGCTAATGTATTGAGCATACACAATGAAATGTTGTCATTTATTTTTAATTCACAAGTAAAGTAAATAAAAGATACAATGTATTCACATATTGCTTATAGGTATATGTCACCAGTATAAAATTGCGCGCGTGTCTTTGATTATTGTCATTAAAATGACGCAAGAGCCTATAGCAATACACAAAATACGCAATGTTCGCAATTGCACCTTATTTTTCATTTGAGTTAGTTAACATAGCTGCGTTAATTTAGAATTAATTAGTTTTTATTGACCAGTTTCGGTGTCGAAATGCTGTGACCGGTTTCCATTTGGATAAGCAATTCCATATGATGTTGCGCACTTTCGCGCGAAACCAATGATTTCCATTCATTCCTGGAAAATAGTAATAACAAACGATAAAACTGATGGCGTACAGAAATATATAAGTATAACGAAAATACGATGCAACCGATATGCAAATAGGGACGCGCATTGTCTGACACGAACGGATTGTCACTTAGCGCACAATGCTTTGAATGCAAATATCAATGCTTTGTACCAGGTTTTCGAAAATTGTTTTACGTCCACACTTCCTGTGTTTACATTTATTGTAAATTATATATTGAAAAAAAAAGTGATATTTCAAAGCTTTAATTTAATGTAAGACATGAAATGCCGAAATGTAAGTCAAGAAAAAGAACATAAGATTTCGCCATGAAACGTTCTTAGAAAATTGTGAATTTTAATGCGTTCACGTGTCGTGTAATTCGTATAAACAAAGTTTTATGATTGCAATGCAACAAAAGCAATATGTTTTATTACTACGTGTTTTGTAGTTCTGTGACACCTTGAAACTGTTTACTTTTAGACAGTGTTTATGCAGTTGCCTACCTTTAGGAACAGCTCTTTTAAATATGATTTTTATCCTTTCAAGAAACACCTATTGATTAAGATAAGTAAGAGATTGACGCAACAGGGCAAATCGTGAAAGAGTATAGTCTGGCTCACCTTCAGATTAATATGATTAATCATATTAGCGTTAACAGTTATAAGTTATTAAGAGTAACAAGTCGAGGCTATTACATCCATTGAAGTGTAAAAAGTGAAAGAATGAAAGAAATGTGCAAGTTCTATTGATTATTAAATGTTTATCAATCGCTCCGGTTATTTTCCCGTTCTTCGCGTCTCTGTTAAGTTTCATCGGTAATGATCATTTAATAATAATGGTCGCTCGTGAAAGCCTTTTCACTCATTGGTTCGACTGCTAATTTTTCCTTTCAGCAATAGAGCGCACCAATTGCAGTAATAATTGATGGCTCGCGCTTTTCGAAGAGCATACACCGCGTTGGAGCTTCGTCATTCAATTCTATTGGAAGTGCCATTTAAGTTTCATTATTACTATGCACAATTTCTGCACCGCCGATGATTTCATTATGTGCAAATGACCATTGTCGTTTCGGAATTCAATAACATTCTACGTGTATTTCATCGTTTCAATTTAGTACTTATTTCCGTTTCATTTACAACAATACTTTTTTAAAATTTTTAAAAAAAGAAATTTTATGAATGAACATTTTATCCATACAGTCTTGTATTTTTTTATCAATACATTCAATTTATATTTAATTAAAAAAATCTACCGTGGTCGACATGTAACAAATGTGTATAGAAAAAAATAATCATTAAATATTTTTCTGGTATTAATAAAAGTTCATTGGAGTTTAGTCTATTCTTGACAAGTTAATAAACGTTCTACTTTACTGGCTTAAGGCAGATTACACGATATATGTTTAAATAGGTTTATTGGAAATAATGATGATAAATAACTGAACCTATTAATATCATGTTTAATTTCATTTTGAAAGAGACATATGGGCAACATGTGGTATGAAATATAATCATAAGATAATTAACGATGCGGATTTGAGGTCATGTTTTATAAAAAAAAGGGATTTTCAATATACGCAAGATTTGCCTACAACAATAATACTTTAGTATATAAAGAAGTACCAATTTGGTATTATTTCACGTGTGGAAGTGTGTATCTTCCACAACATTTTTAATTAGCTTCTTGAAAATCAGTTGCATTTCTGGATAGTATTTTATATCTCTTTCTTTTAAATTTAAATGTATAGTTCAAATATATAATTAAAAGTATTGCGCGAGGAAAATACTCGCAGACCAATTTATATTTATATAAAGGGTGTTCCAAAATTAACGTTAAGCGAGGTTCCACTGTATATGATGAGGCTACAGTACATTACTTAGTTCAATTAAAAATTTGCGACAGAATTTTTGTTAGAAAATAATTCAATTCATAAATTTATTGAATTGAATTACCAATAATTTGTTTAAATTGGATGGAAAGCCTACAGTTAATAGACCATTGTATGAATGTATTTTTTTTGGTTGTTAATACACGTTGTGAGGTTATTGAGCAACTTCATTCATCAATTGATTTCTAACAACCATCTTCTATTATGTTTGGTAATTAAGGAATCACGTTTTCCTGCAGCTATCATCAATATGTTTTTATTACTTAAGAAATCTTTAAAAAAAAATTGTTTATTATTGTCCTTAAACATGAATTTCGTTAAGTTTTGCTCTTTGAAATGTCGTGAATAGATTTCAATTATTTGAGATCTAATCTAATGTGTACCCTCATGAAGTATCGTATACCTTGTGTCATCGTGACTTCGATCCTGGCTTAAATCTGATTATCCTCGACGGTTATGAAACTGGAGCGATTGCTCGTCTTATTGACGGTCCCCTCATATATCTTCTGATTCGTTTTTTCTTCTCTCTCGTTAAAACATAAGATGCGAGAGAGGCATGTTGTTTTTATAAAGAGTCGCTAAATAACGAGCTGCAGGTACTTTCTAAAATTCCCTTCGCTTTGCGATCTCCCAGATCTCTCGGGCTCGGCGAATGCATACACACATACCCACACACACACACACATGTACATACACCTATGCAATTCGCCACATTCATACATGGCGTACATACATAAAACGTCTGTACTCTGCAGCTACGGGGCAATAAATTGTAATGCAGATCCGAGTCCGATATCGTCGGCTTTTATTATAAACAAATAAATTTCAAATGCTCGCAATGGCAATGCAATCCGCGCGCACACTGCGCCGAACAGTAGCAGCGAAAGTTCCACCAGATTTATTTATACGTACCTCGTGTACACTGGCAGCATCCTCATCTCCATGGATGGCTTTCTTAATCGAACGAGAACTAACATTTTCGCTAGCGTTTCATCTTCTGACATTTCTCATCGATGTAGGTTAATCTTCAGATGCCTATTGTTTTTTAATTAATGCATACGTCGTGGTTTACTCTCCTAGTTTTAGTTTACTGGATAAACACACGTTTACCCATTTTTGTATTAATATGATGGACTCAAATTCGTTTACGTGGTTACTTTTGCACAATATTTAAGGCATTTGGTTTGACATATTCCGATATTTGTTAAATTTTTGTTTACAATTTTTGCAAGCAGTAAATTTAGAAAATTTCCTTATTAAGAGCAAAAAAACATATTTTTATTTCAAATTTTATTGATTGTTTTTATTTCCATTCATGTTGTTCGCCATAGTATTTTTGGTAATTTCTAGTACCTAAACATATATTATAATTAGTAAATTCACATCACCCTAATTGATAATTTGTGTGTTTGACCGGAGTTGCGCACATTGCAGCAAGTTACTTTAAGTGAGCAATTATGTTCTGACTGACAGCGTTTATCATTGTGTGTCTGCTAATTAGATTAATTTGTTTGTTTTGTGTATTTGTCTCTGAAGGATTCGTAAATAACTTTGATGACGTAAATATTGGTGGTCGTTTTTAATAAAATGTGTGCACAATACGGACGCGGTTGGCTGCTCTGCACATGACATCAATTACGTCGGAAACGTATTTTAATGGTGATGGCAGAGTGCACGTTTCTATGCGCGCATATCTGCATGCCAGACTATTTATTATTCGCAGGAAATTGCTAATCATCGCAGTCATTCACAATTAGGCAATTTGCTGTATCTGTGCTATTTTACGACTCTGATATTCTTTATTTTTAAACCGTGAAACACATTCGGAAATTGATTGTTGGAAGAACTAAAATTAGTTGTCGATACATCTTTTTTTTTAAAGCGTACACTTAGTTACATAGCGAGATTATTTTTTAAATGTGCTGAATCAAATGATAATACTAGTTATATTTATACTAAGTGATATTAACTTAAGTGGCTGTAAGTCATTTAAGTTGGTACACTTGTTAGCTAGTATTTATTTAAAATAATGATACTGTTCTAAATGATAATATATTTTGTTTCATAACTGCTGTATAATATAGTAGAGTAAAATCTTAAACACTTACAAATCAACTAAAAACCGGTATACAATATTTATATAATTGTACTAAAAATATATTTATTTACTAATTATCAGGTAGAG